TCAGAGTTATGAGGGCAGGAGCGTACCAGGCCATTCATAATGGTACAGTAGTTATGAGAGGCATGAGCGACCATCCAACTCCATGTCATAATGGTACAGTAGTTATGAGAGGCATGAGCGACCATCCAAGGCCATGTCATATTGGTCCAGAAGTTGAGAGGCAGGAGCGACTTTCTCTAAACCTTTGCTACCCTGGGTTGTGCAATTGTTGGGTATCCAAGTTGTATCTTAGAACCCTTTAAAAGATTTTTTTTGATGTGAGATGTTAGTGCTATAGGTCTATAGCTCTATAGTTTTTTGCATTTGCTTTACCACCTTTGTGAAGTGGGGCAATGTCTGTTGTTTTTAGTGAGTGTGGGACGACCCCCGTGTGTCCATGCTCCCTCTCCATATAATATTTAAGCCATGTGAGAGGTTTCTTGCAGTTCTTAATGAACACGGAGTTCTATGAGTCTGGGTCTGGGGCAGAGTGCATGGGCATGTCATTTATTGCTTTTTTCAAAGTCCTGTTGTGTTAGGATAATATCGGAAATTCTGGAATTAGCCAAATTTTGAATATCGGTCATAAAAATTTTCTTTAGATTGTGTGATTAACGGCTCACTGAACACTGAATCATATTGGACTTTTAGTTCACTCATTTCTTTGTTGTCGTCTCGTCTAAGCAGGGGTCCAATACTGGATGTTTTGGATTAGATTTGGCATATGAAAAGAAATATTTTGGGTTTTCAGTTTCATTGATGTCTTTAGGCTCTGAGTTTTTTTGTCTCGTGTAAGATTCCTTAAGTTTAAGTTCGATGATTTCCATTTCTCTGATCAGTGCCTCAGCAGCTCTGTGATTTTTCGTCTTCGCCTGTATAGGAAGCGTCTCTCTCTTTCAAGTTCACATCTTCTATTTTTGTCTTAGGGAAATATGCCTTGAGCAGACCTCAAGAGCCACAGAGTTAATTCTTTCTAGGCAAAGGTTCGGATCATGTTATTTAGTATATCTTCCCAGTTTGTTTCAGTTAGGACATGGTTAATTTGATCCCACTGTATGATTTTTGTTATTGAAGTTGAATTTTGTGAAGACACTCTTACGACTGATCACATTTTGTTGGTCAGGAGCCCTGTGCATACATGTCTGTACCTCAGTTATGTTGTGATACTTCATATTCCGTATCAGATCACTTTTGGTGATGAGGTCCAGTCTTGTTGGCTGTATTTTCCAGTTTAACGTGAATTTGATACAGAGATTTAATAGCTCATGTATGTGTGAATTTTCATCTGTGCTGCCTCCTGGGGTTATCGCTTCTAAAACATTATTTGCTACATTCCTCCATCTTAGGTCTTTTAAAATGAAATCGCCCAGCAACAAAATATTTGGGTCTGGGATTGAAAGATTTTCCAGACAGTAGTCAGTTTTCATGTGCTGTTCCTTGAAATGTTGGGAAGTTGTATCTGCTGGCTTGTATACAACCACAAAGACGAAGTTGTATCTGCTGGCTTGTTTACAACCACAAAGACGAAGTTGTATCTGCTGGCTTGTATACAACCACAAAGACGAAGTTGTATCTGCTGGCTTGTATACAACCACAAAGACGAAGTTGTATCTGCTGGCTTGTATACAACCACAAAGACGAAGTTGTATCTGCTGGCTTGTATACAACCACAAAGACGAAGTTGTATCTGCTGGCTTGTATACAACCACAAACACGAAGTTGTATCTGCTGGCTTGTTTACAACCACAAACACGAAGTTGTATCTGCTGGCTTGTATACAACCACAAAGACGAAGTTTTGGTTTTCAATCTTTACTACCAAAACTTTAACTACATCATTTGTGGTATTTAGTAATTCTGAGCAAATGAGCGACTCTGACATACAGGCCAACCCTCCCCTGTTGCCTTTTCTTTCAGTTACATCTAAATAAATTATATCCTGAGATCCATATTTCTTTGTCAAAGTGTTCCTTTGTGTGATCTCTTTGAGCTGGAAACATTGCATGGACTCTGTGAGCAGTCCACTGATGGAACGTATTTTGTTGATGGTTTTAGATGCTGTGTATTTAGACTGTATATTTAGACACTGTGTATTTCCCAATACAAATGTTGTCTTACTGTTGGGGGCTTTATTTGTAGGCATTAATATCTGTTGTTCTGGAGTGAATATTATTAGAGGCAGCTGGCCCAGTGGTTAACGCACTGGCCTGTGAGTTTTAGGACTTACTTGCCATGGGTTCAAACCTTACCGTTCCGTGAAATGTTTTGAAATATATGTGTGCATGTATTCACTGCAGGAGTGACTGTGTGTAAAGTTATTTTGTAGGTGAATTATTCTTATGTTTTCAGAGAGGATGACCCGAGTCAGTCAATATCAAGCAACAGCAGCAGCAGGATCAACAGCAGCAGCAGCAACAGCAGCAGCAGGATCAACAGCATCAACAGCATCAACGGCAGCAGTGTTGGAAACTCTTCGGGTCGTCAGACAAAGTGTTCTTTGTACCCCAGAGATAGTCTGTGTTCCACACAGGAGAGTGGTGAGCACAGCACAGTATCACGCAGCACCTCTGTGTACTCAACAGACAGCGGCTGTGGTGTCCTCCAGTGTTTTACCAACAGACTTACCCTAATACGCCATTCCTCAGGAGAAGCAGACAAATGCACTGACCACTTCTCCTATTTACTAGCAAACGATAATGAGTATCTTAATTGTCTCCACGACATGTTAAGTAACTATAACATGATGTGTTCCGTAACTCCTCCACATATTCGCCAGCATCTAGATGTATTCTTTCTACATATGGAAACATTGTATCAGTTCCAGATTGCGTTACATGGTTTAATTAAAGCAACAGGTGGCAACGCAGCTGAGTTATCGCAGGTGTTTACAAATGACCAATTCCAGCTGTACAGTCGTTGTATGATCATGACTCCAAATGCCCTTAGAGATTTTAGTCGATATTCGGCTTACTTCGAGGAGCATTTCCCTCATCTTAAGAGGAACTTACTGAAGCCGTCTATGAGGATCAACTTTTACGTGATGATGCTGGATACTTTTAAAAACGGAGCTTCGGAGAAAGAGAAAGTTGACTTGGAGTCTGCCCGAGACTACCTGAATCAGCTGAAGCGAGAAGCCAACACTATCATGACTGTTGCTACAGTAGTTAATAGTCCACTTGATCTTAGACTAGGTGGGGAAGTCTTGCAGTTAGGAGAGCTTCTCTGTCTCGGTGGTGGCTCACTTCAGAAGAAAAAATATAATATAATATTATTTGAACACTTGCTGGTTATTACATCGTCAAAGATGGATTATTTTAAGTACAAAACTCATTATAGGGCGGAGCGGTTAGAGGCCGTAGAGAGCGCAGGGGACCAGGAGCTAGTACTCCACGCTTTCACAGAGGGACAACATCAACTGGTTACCATGAGGTTCAAAGCAAAATCCACGTTCCTAAGAGATGAGTGGGTTAAGGGGCTACATAAAATAATACCTCGCAACGATACATCTAGTCAGAGAGAAGGTAAACAAAGTGATACCTTCTCTACGCAAGTTCACTCGCAGATGTTCCCATTGTACCTCTTCTCTGAGTACCCACACTTGTCCTCGGCCATGGTACAACAGGACTTTGTGAATGAGATTCCAAAATTATCATCTGTTGAAGAGTCTTGCCTAGAGATGTTTCTCGAGGAGAAAGCTTACGTACGCCAGCTGTCCTCTCTCTTGAACCCCGAGGCCATACTGCCTCCTGAGACACTTTGCTCCCTTTTAGAAAAATTATACCAATTACACAGCAAGATTCTCCTTCCATATCTAGATAGATCACTCAATATATATAATATTTTCAGATTATTCTTTGAAAATATTGACTCGTTCAGTATCTACGTCGATTATCTTGTAGTTCGTAGTCAAGTAATTTCACAGTTTAATTCCTCTGAGACTCGCCTCTACATCTCACCAGTTCAACATTTGACCTTTTACTTGATATGGCTACAACAGTTATGTAGATACCCAGACCTTAAAGAGTCAGCCCAAAAGATTCTAGACCATTTTAAAACCTACGTAAAGAAGGCTCAGATACGACTCCTGACAGATGCCATCAGCAATGCTAGAATAGATTTCTACAGAAGCGGGAATATCCTCCGTCACGACAGAATGGAAGTGAAGACTCGCAAGAAAGAACTTCGTGGAGGACTATACTTAGCGTTGCTCTTTGAGAATATTATCCTGCTAACCAAGCCCAAGCCTCCCTTTTATGAATATGCTTGGGATATATGGCTGGATCAGGTCAACCTGGGACCTCCTACCAACTCCGACGTGGTCTTCAAGTTAGAAGTTCGTCAGGGTGGAGGGAGAGAACCTGTTACATGTGAGTTTAGGGTTGCCAGCCCAGCCATCAAGCAAGAGTGGCTCAAGTGCATGCAACAGCAAATGTTGCAACAAGCACAGAAGATACGCCAGCGAACATCGGCTGATTTCTGATTATTATAATCATGGGGGAGCGCTGAACCCATAGGATTATACAGCGTCTATAGGGAGAAGGGATGGGAAGGTATGCAGACTTAATTCAGGAAACAGGAGCACAGATCCAATTCCATAGATCAAGAGCCCCTCACGAGCCTCGCGGAACCTCACTTGAGGGGTAGGCTGATTTCTGAAAGCCTCTCTCTCTCGTCAACATCCTGAAGCATCACGGTAGACGTGTCACTGACTTGAGAAAATATACCTGGAGACAAACACAATGTAAACAAAGACTCGGTCTTCGTTTGAGATCTTCATCATGATCTTTGAACACTTAATCTACCTCAAAACTACATCTGTACTGCTTCTGCTGCCTCTGTATTCGACTGAAGAAGCCTACTGTGTAGGCGATATGTTTATGTTGCATTAATTATGTGCAGTATTGACAAACATAAGTGAGATTTCACGTGTTTCACTTGCGTATCTCCATTGTGGAGACTTTTCACATGCTCTATAGGTTTCTTCAGTCAGCAAAATATAGACTGTGGAAACAGTGGAGAGGTAATGAGGTGGTTAGTCCTCAACCTTCTAGTAGTAGTCTGGGGTAATCAGTCCCTCAGCCTTGAGTTGTCAGTCCAGCAGTCTTGATAAAAGTCAGTTTAAACCTTTATAAAAAAGTCTACCTTGTGGTATACCGGCAAGGTAAACTTCCCGTGGGAAGCTTACCTTGTGTACATTCTTACAAAGACGTTGACTTCCTATTGCTTATAATCATACATTAGGCAGGTACACAGTGAAGGATATGGAAGGATATACATGACACAGCCTGTGTACCATGGATAAGGTACAAATGGCACAATACCATGACTGGAACAATGCAGAAATTACCCACAACTAGAGGAACTTAAAACGACATTTCGGCCCTACTTAGACCATTTACGAGGGACATTTTTACTTGCCAAATGGTCCAAGACGGAACGAGAAGATGCGAGTGATGTATATACCATGGATAACGTTGGTTAATGGGGTTTCAAGCCTATCAACTACACCATGGTATGGTTTTAAACCAATAAATTACAGTCCTTTTCTCCTATAATAGAGATTAATGTGAGCTCTTTGTATACCCTCTCAGGGTATACATCCTCTGTATCCAGGGATACCCTGTATCCACTCATTTCCAGCCCTGAAAATGCTTTAAAACACGTGTTAAACCAGTCTTAGTGGTTTAAAGCTCGGGTTTAAATGTATCTTATCACTTAAGAATTTTAGTGAGTTGTTATACAATTATACAGTTTTGACTTACACCACCACTGTGTGGACTTACACCACCACTTGTTGACTTACACCACCACTGTGTGGACTTACACCACCACTGTGTTGACTTACACCACCACTGTGTTGACTTACACCACCACTGTGTTGACTTACACCACCACTGTGTGGACTTCACCACTGTGCTGACTTACACCACCACTGTGTTGACTTACACCACCACTGTGTTGACTTACACCACCACTGTGTTGACTTACACCACCACTGTGTTGACTTACACCACCACTGTGTGGACTTACACCAACTTCACTGTGTTGACTTACACAACTACTGTGTTGACTTACACCACCACTGTGTTGACTTACACCACCACTGTGTTGACTTACACCACCACTGTGTTGACTTACACCACCACTGTGTGGACTTACACCACCACTGTGTTGACTTACACCACCTTCACTGTGGTGACTTACACCACCACTGTGTTGACTTACACCACCACTGTGTGAACTTACACCACCACTGTGTTGACTTACACCACCACTGTGTGGACTTACACCACTACTGTGTTGACTTACACCACCACTGTGTTGACTTACACCACCACTGTGTGGATTTCACCACTGTGTTGACTTACACCACCACTGTGTGGACTTCACCACTGTGTTGACTTACACCACCACTGTGTGGACTTACACAACTACTGTGTTGACTTACACCACCACTGTGTTGACTTACACCACCACTGTGTGGACTTCACCACTGTGTTGACTTACCACCACTGTGTGACTTCACCACTGTGTTGACTTACACCACCACTGTGTGGACTTACACAACTACTGTGTTGACTTACACCACCACTGTGTGGACTTACACCACCACTGTGCTGACTTACACCACCTTCACTGTGGTGACTTACACCACCACTGTGTTGACTTACACCACCACTGTGTGGACTTCACCACTGTGTTGACTTACACCACCTTCACTGTGTTGACTTACACCACCACTGTGTGGACTTACACCACCAGTGTGCTGACTTACACCATCACTGTGTTGACTTACACCACCACTGTGTGGACTTACACCACCACTGTGTTGACTTACACCACCACTGTGTTGACTTACACCACCACTGTGTTGACTTACACCACCACTGTGTTGACTTACACCACCACTGTGTTGCCTTACACCACCACTGTTGACTTAGACCACCACTGTGTTGACTTACACCACCACTGTGTTGACTTACACCACTACTGTGTTGACTTACACCACCACCGTGTTGACTTACACCACCACCGTGTTGACTTACACCACCGTGTTGTCGTACACTGTGACACACCACTGTGTTCACTTACACTGCCACTGTGGTGACTTACACCACCACTGACTTACACCACCACTGACTTACAGCACCACTGACTTACACCACCACTGACTTACACCACCACTGACTTACACCACCACTGACTTACACCACCACTGACTTACACCACCACTGACTTACACCACTGACTTACACCACTGACTTACACCACTGATTTACACCACCACAGACTTACACCACCACTGACTTACACCACTAACACCACTGACTTACACCACTGACTTACACCACTAACACCACTGACTTACACCACTAACACCACTGACTTACACCACTACACCACTGAAATTACAACACTAACACCACTGACTTACACCACTGACTTACACCACTGACTTACACCACCACTGACTTAACACCCACTACTGACTTACACCACCACTGACTTACACCACCACTGACTTACACCACCACTGATCTTACACCACCACTGACTTACACCACCACTGACTTACACCACTGACTTACACCACTAACACCACTGACTTACACCACTAACACCACTGACTTACACCACTGACTTACACCACCCCTCACATTAAACAATATACTCATCAAAATTATAATTTTCACTAATTTATATTACTAATAAAAGTGATTTATAATTTAAATTTCCCATTATAAACATTTTACATATAAATTTAAGGTAATTAAATATTTATCAAAATATATTTTTTCTCTCCCCTTTTTTTAATAATTTACAATTTAATTATTATGGAAGATCTCCGTCACTAGTTCTCTTCACACGCTGAGGGGCCGGGTTCGATACCCTGCGAGGGTAGGAACACTTGGTGTTGTTTTCACGGGTGTGGTGGCATCCTGGTGTTAGTGGACTGTGTGGGTGGCATCCTTGGTGTTAGGGGACTGGTGTGGGTGGCATCCGGGGTGTTAGTGGACGTGGGGGTGGCATCCTGGTGTTAGTGGACTGGTGTGGGTGGCATCCTGGGTGTTAGTGACTGGTGTGGGTGGCATCCTGGGTGTTAGTGGACTGGTGTGGGTGGCATCCTGGGTGTTAGTGGACTGGTGTGGGTGGCATCCTGGGTGTTAGTGGACTGGTGTGGGTGGCATCCTGGGTGTTAGTGGACTGGTGTGGGTGGCATCCTGGTGTTAGGGGACTGGTGTGGGTGGCATCCTTGGTGTTAGTGACTGGTGTGGGGGGCATCCTGGTGTTAGTGGACTGGTGTGGGTGGCATCCTGGGTGTTAGTGGACTGTGTGGGTGGCATCCTGGGTGTTAGTGGACTGGTGTGGGTGGCATCCTGGTGTTAGTGGACTGTGTGGGTGGCATCCTGGTGTTAGTGGACTGGTGTGGGTGGCATCCGGGGTGTTAGTGGACTGGTGTGGGTGGCATCCTGGGTGTTAGTGGACTGGTGTGGGTGGCATCCTGGGTGTTAGTGGACTGGTGTGGGTGGCATCCTGGGTGTTAGTGGACTGGTGTGGGTGGCATCCTGGGAGTTAGTGGACTGGTGTGGGTGCATCCTGGGTGTTAGTGAACTGGTGTGGTGCATCCGGGGTGTTAGTGGACTGTGTGGGTGGCATCCTGGTGTTAGGGGACTAGTGTGGGTGGCATCCTGGGTGTTAGTGGACGGGTGTGGGTGGCATCCTGGGTGTTAGTGGATATGGGGGTGGCATCCTGGGTGTTAGTGGATTTGGTGTGGGTGGCATCCTGGGTGTTAGTGACTGTGTGGGTGGCATCCTGGGTGTTAGTGGACTGGTGTGGGTGGCATCCTGGTGTTAGTGGACTGGTGTGGGTGGCATCCTGGGGTTAGGGGACTGGTGTGGGTGGCATCCTGGTGTTAGTGGCCCGGTGGGTGGGCATCCTGGGTGTTAGTGGACTGTGTGGGTGGCATCCTGGGTGTTAGTGGACTGGTGTGGGTGGCATCCTGGGTGTTAGTGGACTGGTGTGGGTGGCATCCTGGGTGTTAGTGGACTGGTGTGGGTGGCATCCTGGTGTTAGTGGACTGGTGTGGGTGGCATCCTGGGGTTAGTGGACTGGTTGGGTGGCATCCTGGTGTTAGTGGACTGGTGTGGGGGGCATCCTGGGTGTTATGGACTGGTGTGGGTGGCATCCTGGGTGTTAGTGGACTGGTGTGGGTGGCATCCTGGGTTTAGTGGACTGGTGTGGGTGGCATCCTGGGTGTTAGTGGAACTGGTGTGGGTGGCATCCTGGGTGTTAGGGGACTGGTGTGGGTGCATCCTGGTGTTAGTGGACTGGTGGGTGGCATCCTGGGTGTTAGTGGACTGGTGTGGGGGCATCCGGGGTGTTAGTGGACTGGTGGGGGTGACATCCTGGGGTTAGTGGACTGGTGTGGGTGGCATCCTGGGTGTTAGTGGACCGGTGTGGGTGGCATCCTGGTGTTAGTGGACTAGTGTGGGGGGCATCTGGGTGTTAGTGGACTGGTGGGGGTGGCATCCTGGGTGTTAGTGGACTGGTGGGGGTGGCATCCTGGGTGTTAGTGGACTGGTGTGGGTGGCATTCCTGGTGTTAGTGGACTGTGGTGGGTGCATCCTGGGTGTTAGTGGACAGTGTGGGTGGCATCCTGGGTGTTAGTGGACTGGTGTGGGTGGCATCCTGGGTATTAGTGGATGGTGTGGGTGGCATCCTGGGTGTTAGTGGACTGGTGTGGGTCGCATCCTGGGTGTTAGTGGACTGGTGTGGGTCGCATCCTGGGTGTTAGTGGATTGGTGTGGGTGCATCCTGGGTGTTTAGTGGACTGGTGTGGGTCACATCCTGGGTGTTAGTGGATGGTGTGGGTGGCATCCTGGTGTTAGTGGATTGGTGTGGTGGCATCCTGGGTGTTAGTTGACTGGTGTGGGTGGCATCCTGGGTGTTAGTGGACTGGTGTGGGTGGCATCCTGGGTGTTAGTGGACTGGTGTGGGTGGCATCCTGGGTGTTAGTGGACTGGTGGGTGGCATCCTGGGTGTTAGTGGACTGGTGTGGGTGGCATCCTGGGTGTTAGTGGACTGGTGTGGGTGGCATCCTGGGTGTTAGTGGAATGGTGTGGGTGGCATCCTGGTGCTAGTGGCTGGTGTGGGTCACATCCTGGGTGTTAGTGGACTGGTGTGGGTGGCATCCTGGTGCTAGCGGACTGGTGTGGGTCACATCCTGGGTGTTAGTGGACTGGTGTGGGTGCATCCTGGGTGTTAGTGGACTGGTGTGGGTCATATCCTGGGTGTTAGTGGTTTGGTGTGGGTCACATCCTGGGTGTTAGTGGCTGGTGTGGGTCACATCCTGGGTGTTAGTGGACTGGTGTGGTCACATCCTGGTGTTAGTGGACTGGTGTGGGTCACATCCTGGGTGTTAGTGGACTGGTGTGGCCCATCATGCTTGGGTGGGTTAGTGGACTGGTGTGGGTCACATCCTGGTGTATAGTGGACTGGTGTGAGTACACATCCTGGGTGTTAGTGGACTGGTGTGGTCACATCCTGGGTGTTAGTGGACTGGTGTGGGTCACATCCTGGGTGTTAGTGGACTGGTGTGGGCCCACATCCTGGTGTTAGTGGACTGGTGTGGGTCACATCCTGGGTGTTAGTAGACTGGTGTGGTCACATCCTGGTGTTAGTGGACTGGTGTGGGTCACATCTGGTGTTAGTGGGGGACTGGGTTTTGGGTCACATCCTGGTGTTAGTGGACTGGTGTGGTTCGCATCCTGGTGTTAGGGGAAACTGGTGTGGGTCGCATCCTGGTGTTAGTGGGCTGGTGTGGGTCACATCCTGGGTGTTAGTGGACTGGTGTGGGTCACATCCTGGGTGTTAGTAGACTGGTGTGGGTCACATCCTGGGTGTTAGTGGACTGGTGTGGGTAACATCCTGGGTGTTAGTGGACTGGTGTGGGTCACATCCTGGGTGTTAGTGGACTGGTGTGGGTCACATCCTGGGTGTTAGTGGACTGGTGTGGGTCACATCCTGGAACAAATCTGACATAATTTGCGGGAAATGCTCAGCATAACAAGTGACTTCCTATATAGTAGTATGTCACTGATGTCAGCTATGATCTGTATACCTTGTACATGTACTGGTATACCTTGTACATGTACTGGTAGTAAATAGGTATTAATACTAGCAGTACTGTATTATAGGGATTACAGAACTCATTAAGAGAACACCAGCGGTTATGGTAGTGTTCTGGTATGGGTACTATAACACTGTACAGTACTGCTGGTGTTCTAGTGGATCCCACCAACATAACACAGTCGTGTTCTCTTTGTGTGGTTCATAACACGGTTCTCCAACTCCAGGTATGGAATAAAGTGGTGCAGGTTTAATGGAGTGTCGAGGTTTACCTACCTTTTAACATTCTCTACAACTGCGGATGTAGTTCTTCACGTCCTGCCTTATTTTTTGTCCAGTGTAACTCTCTTAATATTCTATAGTTTTTGTAATTCCCAAATGAGCTCCTAAAGAATTTCTTAGGAACTATCAATCTGTCTAATTTTGGCCTCTCAAGGGAGGTTCCTAGACGCTGGTGAGGGGCTCTCGAGTCTGTGCTCAGATTCCCTGAATTGAGCCTAAATACCTTCCATCCCCCCCTCCACATGCGCTGTGTAATCCCAATTTTGGGTTCCCTCTACCTACTTACCAGTCTGTGAGAGCAGTAGGTTGTATTAATTTCATATTTGACTGGGGAATCTGAGTAGGCTTCACCCATGGCTGCCTGATAAGCGGAGTTTAGGGGTGTCTTCCATGTTTTTTCCTGAGAGGAGAGTTCCTCGGGCACGTACTTGTAGAGTGACACACTTACCTTGACCTAACCTAACTTAACATAGCCTCACCGTGACCTGACCTAACTTAACCTAGCCTTACCGTGACCTAACCTAACTTAACCTAGCCTTACCGTGACCTAATCTAACTTAACCTAGCCTTACCGTGACCTAACCTAACTTAACCTAGCCTTACCGTGACCTAACCTAACTTAACCTAGCCTTACCGTGACCTAACCTAACTTAACCTAGCCTTACCGTGACCTAACTTAACCTAGCCTTACCGTGACCTAATCTAACTTAGGGGGCCGTCGGTCAAAAAATTGTAGTTCTTTTGTTTACCGTCCGATTTCCTCCAGTTTTGGTGCACAAGACAAAGTGTTTTCACTCTAACTTGAAAATATTTATCAAAAATCTACCTCAAACAACAACTGAGAAAAGACTGAAAAAGGACTGATTTACTGAAAATGCCCTTGTGTCAGAATTTATTCCTATATGGGACGACGTAAGGTTGTTTGGACACTTAATGCCGAGAGAACAATGCTTATAAAAATTCCTCATGGATTAGTTTCCTCTAAATAACCTATATTTATTTCACAAAAAAAATAAATTTTTTTTGTTCTTGGAATGTTGCAAAATATCTGCCCTTTACTCCCACATAAATCCCAAAATAATTGGAATATTTCCCAAAATATACCATTAGTAAATAGAGAAATCATTATTTTACAATTTCTGTGAATATTATTCCATTTAATTAAGTAATAAAGGAAGAGATATTGGCCTGGAACGCCGGCCGGCCCGCCGTCTTGATTTTTTTTTTTTTTTCGCGAAAATCGCGTTTGTTTGGGTGTATTTCTTAGTAAACTGGTGTTCTAGTGCAGTTATCCTTTTCAAAACACCGTTTTCTCTTACTTAGAGACCAAAGAATACGACATGGAGACGATATGAGAGGATTCACTCATTTATATCGAAATATTACCAATGTCTCTCGCCATATTATGGCTTATTTTATTCAGTCTAGAGTATATAACATGTTTGTATGTTATTTATAGTGTTTATTATATCATATTAGATCAATTCTGATAGATAAATAAGTCGTAGAGTTGATATATAAGCTGATATAAGCGTAATAATGAAGTGATTTCTCCTGGCTCTCTGGAGCGGGAATATGGCCGAGTGTTCCCAGATGGTTCCTGATTGGCTGGCACTCTACCGATAAGCTCCGCCTACTGTTTTATGATGCCAAATAGTCAGTTATTATATTAAAAAATTAATGCAAGAAAAAGCAATAAAAAACAAGGAAAAAATTCCAAAATATATATGGGCTGTGAGCAGACTCGCTACCCATATCACCGTCACCATACCTGATATCAAATGATTATAATTTATTGTAGAAACATCGTAGAACATTGTTTCTGGTACCATTGTGTTGCCAAAGAGTTTAGCTATTTTTCGGTATAAATAACTCAATTTCCATAATTTTTCGATTTTTTTGAGAGCACGCGGAAAATTGCCCTACAGCCCCCTTTATCTAGCTTTACCTTGACCTAACCTAACTTAACCTAACTTTACCTGACCTAACCTAACTTAACCTAGCCTTACCGTGACCTAACCTAACTTGACCTAGCCTTACCGTGACCTAACCTAACTTAACCTAGCCTTATTGTGACCTAACCTAACTTAACCTAGCCTTATTGTACCAACCTAACTTAGCACCTTATTGAACCTAACCTAACTTAACCTAGCCTTATTGTGACCTAACCTAACTTAACCTAGCCTTATTGTGACCTAACCTAACTTAACCTAGCCTTATCGTGACCTAACCTAACTTAACCTAGCCTTATTGTGACCTAACCTAAACTTAACCTAGCCTTATTGTGACCTAACCTAACTTAACCTAGCCTTATCGTGACCTAACTTCACCTAACCTTACCTTGACCTAACCTAACTTAATCTTACCTTGACCTAGCCTAACTTAACCTTACCTTGACCTTGCCTAACTTAACCAAACCTTACGTTGACCTAGCCTAACTTAACCTAACCTTGACCTAACCTAACTTAACTTAACCTAACCTTACCTTGACCTATCCTAGCTTACCTAACTTAATATTACCTTGACCTAACCTAACTTAACCTTACCCTGACCTAATCTTACCTCGACCTGACGTGGCCTTGACTGGGTCTTGATCTAACGTTGACCTTACCTTGACCTGACCTTGGCCTATAATGACCATACCTTGAACTGAGCAGATGAAACTAGCCACTTTCTAATCCTTGGGAATCATGGCTACATTGATTTGATCCGAGGAAAGGGTAGAGCAGCTCCCTTTCCTTGAATCAAGAGCACTTGGGAGGCTATTGAAGAATGAAGGATAAAAAGAATAGAAAATATATTTTTTTTAATTTATTACAATATCTGTTATACACAGTGTGGGTAGCTCCAGTTCCTTGGATCAAGAACCCTTTGTTATAGACAGTGTGGGCTGCTGCCTTCAATTGAAACCTCATAATATCAATATGATATTTGAAGTTTTACTAGAAATAGTGCATAGGAGAGTGCTGGCTGGAGTGTCACATGACACCACTGTGTCACATGACACCACTGTGTCACATGACACCACTGTGTCACATGACACCACTGTGTCACATGACACCACTGTGTCTGTGTCACTACTGTCTCTGTGACACCACTGTCTTTGTAACACTGTCTTTGTCACTACTGTCTCTGTGTCACAACTGTCTTTGTGTCACAACTGTCTTTGTGTCTCCACTGTCTTTGTAACACCACTGTCTTTGTAACGCCTTTGTTTTCGTAACACCAGTCTTCGTGACACTACCATTTCTGTAATACCATTGTGTTCATAACACTACTGTCTCTGAGGCACCATTGTCTCTGTAACACCACTGTTTCTGTAACACAAATGTCAGTCTGTCATGTTAGTGACAGTATCTGTCAGTCTCCATTGTATCAGTATCATACCAGAGTCTGTTACATCACAGTCTGTTGCACCAGTGACAGTCTCCATTACACCAGAGTCAGTTTGTCACAGCAGAGACAGTCTTCTGTGCAAGGAGTTATGGAGGCAAACCCAGATTATTGATATTTAACTCCGTACAGAACTCTACGAATGCCGTCTATTACCACATATCACTGTATCCGGTTCGAAGGACCAACTTGTGGAAGTTTGACAGTACGGGACACCTGCCAGCCAAGCACTGAAGACAACTTTGCACCTTAACAATCACACTCTTAATACTGATGATGTGCAATTCTTAACTCTGTGTTTTTTTCTATTTTTTTGCACTTTCTAATGCCAACCACAATGAGCAGGATTTGTAATGCGATGGACGATGGGAATGCGTACAAAAATAAATAATATAAATTAATAATGAATGTTTTTTTTACTTGAGGGAAGAAGATAAAGATAATATATATCTGAGAGGAAGGATATATATATTTATATATATTTCTAACAATGTTTTCTAAAGAGAAAGAATGAATATACGAAAATAATCTATTTTAATTTATCAATGAGGAACTAGAGTAAATAATTTTTTTACAATACTCTATCAAATGGCATTCATAATTACAGTTATTAATATAAGAAAATGGCATTCATAGTTACAATTATTAATATAAGAAAAAACTCATTTGTACAAACAGTTTGGAATAATTTTAACTTGCATCAAAGTATTTTTTCAGGGTTAAGGGAATCATGAAGGAGAAAATATAGGGGTTGAGATCACATGCACTTATACTTTACGTGTGTGTGTGTGTGTGTGTGTGTGTGTGTGTGTGTGTGTGTGTGTGTGTGTGTGTGTACTCACCTAATTGTGGTTGCAGTGGTCTATTCATAGCTCCTGGCCTGTGTGTGTGTGTGTGTGTGTGTGTGTGTGTCTGTGTGTGTGTGTGTGTGTGTGTGTGTGTGTAGAAGGTTTTACTGCTGGTACAAAATACCGACAAGCTGATGAGAAAGACGCGTGTACAAGACGCGTGTACAAGACGCGTGTACAAGACACGTGTACAAGACACGTGTACAAGACACGTGTACAAGACGCGTGTACAAGACACGTGTACAAGACACGTGTACAAGACATGTGCAACACTTGGATATCTTACTGGGTAAATCTTCTGACTTCACAGTCTTCTTCGGTCGAGTATAAGTGAATACAACAGTAGAGATAGAAGAGTCTGAACACGTTAAATTACTTCTTCTCTCTCCAGTGCCAAAATTCCCCAAAAAACGCCTGAAGATGCCAGTTATATAGGCGAAATATGGATAACTAAGGCACATGTGCCTTAGTTATCCACGTACGTAAGTTAACTAACAAGACATGTGATAAAGTCGGTGGGAAGACAGGCAGGGGAAATCAGCCAGGAAATTTACCATCACTAAACATTTAAGACAATTTGTTGAGGAGAATTACAGTCCCAGGACTGTCTTGACTGCTGCGAGAAAAAGTACCAGGACCGAGTTCTGTCCCAGAACTCTCAAATGTTAGCGCACACGTTCAATTATTCTCAACCTGATGGTATTAAATACCTGGTTCATACCACTGGTAATAACTATTTTCAGCAGACTATATATATATATATAATATATATATATTTATATATATATATATATATATATATATATATATATATATACACACACAATCCTGATTCAGTTTATACCTCATATAAATCACAGTCATTCTTGATTTCCAATTGGTAGATAATAAATTAAGTATATACATTTATATACATAAATTTGAACTTTACACTTTATACATTGAGGTTTTTATTAGAGGCACATGGGCAGGTGTGGGTATTTTTCCACTCCCAGTGGGCACAGTGGGCACAATAGTGGGTCGCCCACCACAAGACAGCGATTGACAGAATCATGTTTGTGTTGGGAATAGTTGAATATTTCTGTATTCCTTCCATGGGTTGATTGTCAACTCCTGAGAGTGGGTACTGATACCCAGACATAATGGGTATCCCCAGTAACCACTATGGACGGTAAGATAAGGTCACCAGAGGTAGTCAAAATGTTGACATCAAGTTATTGATGTTTCTCAGTAGTCACTGATGTTTAGTTAATAAGTTTATCAGCATTTATGAGTATGAGATACTTCTGTGTATAGTGACCTCATGGGGCCCTGGACAGTGACCCTAGCGGCCTCGACAGTGACCCTGGTGGCCTGGACAGTGACCCTAGCGGCCTGGACAGTGACCCTGGTGGCCTGGACAGTGACCCTAGCGGCCTGGACAGTGACCCTGGTGACCTGGACAGTGACCAAAACAACTCTTGTGATAAATGCCACGGTCAATGAATGTTATATTATTAATAAATATTCAAAAAAAATAATGCCGTTAATGGAATTAATGTGCGGGAGTGATGTGGTCTGGTGGTACAGAAAACCCAGCTAGATCGGTGCTTAGAAAGCCCTTCTAGTGGCTTTTAAACTGGAGTAATGTGGCCATGGACTCCTCTGACTGGACGCGGCCTGGTCACAGACTGGACCGCGGGGGCGTTGACCCCCGGAACTCTCTCCAGGTAAACTCCAGGTAAACACTTCGTCTTGTCCAGCAGATGACGTTTCTTGCCTATCTTAGTCGCCATTGGTCCTCACCAAAGCTTCTCCCGTGTATTTTCATTTTTCATTTCGTGAGCACTGGGATGAGTAAGACCTCCTGGAACTCCAGAGGTAAACACTGCCATTTGTATTCCATGAGAACTCACAACTCACGGAACGTTTCAGGACTTGCTGTGTGTTCCGTGATCTGTCTTCCATGAGATTTCACCTCAATCGTTGAAGACCAAAGTGACGAGGTGAAGCTAGGTCACTTTGTGTCAAAATTCTAAGTGCACTCAATAGCGTGTTGAGCCGAAGACTCAATGACTGAGGCTCTGGTGTCAGACTCGCACTTGATCTCAGGGGTGAACGACTTGAATTCCTCCTGAGAGTGTTTGATCAGCTCCTCCGGGATCATGTAAGTGGGACTCTTAGGGTCGTAGTCACTGGGGTCGTGTAGGTCGTGCCCAGGAGACGTCTGTAAGCCATCCATACTGTTTGTGTCCACAGTGTCCAGACTGCTTCCTGTACAAGAGAAAAGGAACACTCAGATACTTCCAGTTTATACAATAGAAATTTATACAATTTATACAATAGAAGGGGCTTTCAAAAATTTAGTCTTATTAAATAGGCTTTCATTGTTATCACAACAGATAATGATTTTCTTAATTTCTAATAAGCTTTAGACCATTAGGAAAGCTATAATTAAGTATTACGAGAATTAACCTTGATTTAGACATTCGAAATGTCTAAATCAAGATTCCAGCTGCAGCAGCAAGACACGTACAAGACGGGAAGTAGACAGGATGACAGTCATACCTGAGGCGATGGATGGACAGTAGTCGTAACCACTGGATGATCCCGTGGGTGAGCGTTCAACAGCTAGCTCTTCTTCAGGACTGGAAGGCTTGCAGCTGGTTGTCTTCCAGTGAGTCCTGCAGTCAACACTACAGTTAATACATGGCTAGTACACTTAATACTCCTAGCTAGTACACTCATGGCTAGTACACTTAACACTCCCAGCTAGTACACTCATGGCTAGTACACTTAATACTCCTAGCTAGTACACTCATGGCTAGGACACTTAACACTCCCAGCTAGTACACTCATGGCTAGTACACTTAATACTCCTAGCTAGTACACACTCATGGCTAGGACACTTAACACTCCCAGCTAGTACACTCATGGCTAGTACACTTAATACTCCTAGCTAGTACACTCATGGCTAGGACACTTAACACTCCTAGCTAGTACACTCATGGCTAGTACACTTAATACTCCTAGCTAGTACACTCATGGCTAGTACACTTAACACTCCCAGCTAGTACACTCATGGCTAGTACACTTAATACTCCTAGCTAGTACACTCATGGCTAGTACACTTAATACTCCTAGCTAGTACACTCATGGCTAGGACACTTAACACTCCCAGCTAGAACACTCATGGCTAGTACACTTAATACTCCTAGCTAGTACACTCATGGCTAGGACACTTAACACTCCTAGCTAGTACACTCATGGCTAGGACACTTAACACTCCCAGATAGTACACTCATGGCTAGTACACTTAACACTCCTAGCTAGTACACTCATGGCTAGGGCACTTAACACTCCTAGCTAGTAAACTCATGGCTAGGACACTTAACACTCCTACCTAGTACACTCATGGCTAGGGCACTTAACACTCCTAGCTAGTACACTCATGGCTAGTACACTTAACACTCCTAGCTAGTACACTCATGGCTACTACACTTAACACTCCTAGCTAGTACACTCATGGCTAGGACACTTAACACTCCTAGCTAGTACACTCATGGCTAGGGCACTTAACACTCCCAGCTAGTACACTCATGGCTAGTACACTTAACACTCCCAGCTAGTACACTTAACACTCCTAGCTAGTACACTCATGGCTAGTACACTTAACACTCCCAGCTAGTACACTTAACACTCCTAGCTAGTACACTCATGGCTAGTACACTTAACACTCCCAGCTAGTACACTTAACACTCCCAGCTAGTAAATTCATGGCTAGTACACTTAACACTCCCAGCTAGTACACTTAACACTCCTAGCTAGTACACTCATGGCTAGTACACTTAACACTCCTAGCTAGTACACTCATGGCTAGGGCACTTAACACTCCCAGCTAGTACACTCATGGCTAGTACACTTAACACTCCCAGCTAGTACACTTAACACTCCTAGCTAGTACACTCATGGCTAGTACACTTAACACTCCTAGCTAGTACACTCATGGCTAGGGCATTTAACACTCCCAGCTAGTACACTTAACACTCCCAGCTAGTAAATTCATGGCTAGTACACTTAACACTCCCAGCTAGTACACTTAACACTCCTAGCTAGTACACTCATGGCTAGTACACTTAACACTCCTAGCTAGTACACTCATGGCTAGGGCACTTACTCCCAGCTAGTACACTCATGGCTAGTACACTTAACACTCCCAGCTAGTACACTTAACACTCCCAGCTAGTACACTCATGGCTAGTACATTCAACATTCATGGCTAGTACACTCAACATTCATGGCTAGTACACTCAACATTCATGGCTAGTACACTCAACATACATGGCTAGTACACCCAACATTCATGGCTAGTACACTCAACATACATGGCTAGTACACCCAACATTCTTGGCTAGTACACCCAACATTCTTGGCTAGTACACCCAACATTCATGGCTAGTACACTCAACATACATGGCTAGTACACTCAACATATATGGTTAGTACACTCAACATTCCTGGCTAGTACACTCAACATATATGGTTAGTACACTCAACATACATGGCTAGTACACTCAACATATATGGTTAGTACACTCAACATTCCTGGCTAGTACACTCAACATTCCTGGCTAGTACACTCAACATTCATGGCTAGTACACTCAACATTCCTGGCTAGTACACTCAACATACATGGCTAGTACACTCAACATTCATGGCTAGTACACTCAACATACATGGCTAGTACACTCAACATTCCTGGCTAGTACACTCAACATTCCTGGCTAGTACACTCAACATTCATGGCTAGTACTCAACTTTCCCGGGCTAGTACACTCAACTTTTCCTGGCTAGTACACTCAACATTCCTGGCTAGTACACTCAACATTCCTGGCTAGTACACTCAACATTCCTGGCTAGTACACTCAACATTCATGGCTAGTACTCAACATTCCTGGCTAGTACACTCAACATTCCTGGCTAGTACACTCAACATTCCTGGCTAGTACACTCAACATTCCTGGCTAGTACACTCAACATTCCTGGCTAGTACACTCAACATTCCTGGCTAGTACACTCAACATTCCTGGCTAGTACACTCAACATTCATGGCTAGTACTCAACATTCCTGGCTAGTACACTCAACATTCCTGGCTAGTACACTCAACATTCCTGGCTAGTACACTCAACATTCCTGGCTAGTACACTCAACATTCCTGGCTAGTACACTCAACATTCCTGGCTAGTACACTCAACATTCCTGGCTAGTACACTCAACATTCCTGGCTAGTACACTCAACATTCCTGCTAGTACACTCAACATTCCTGGCTAGTACACTCAACATTCCTGGCTAGTAACACTCAACATTCCTGGCTAGTACACTCAACATTCCTGGCTAGTACACTCAACATTCCTGGCTAGTACACTCAACACACCCCAGAAGCTATGAGGCTATATATATATATATATATATATATATATATAATATATATATATATATATATATATATATATATATATATATATATCTATATCGTGCCGAATAGATAAAAAGTTGCGATTTTGGCTTAAATAGCAACTCTCTTCTTGCCGAATAAGACAAGCGAAAATTTGTGTTTGCAATAATTTCTAAAAACTCATTGTGAACCTAACGAGAAGAAAATTTTTTTTGTTTATTAAATTATTGAAACTAACCAAAAATTTTAAATTTAGTTGGTTTAGAGAAAATTTTTTTACTTTAAACGTAAATGAAAAAATTATAGATTTTAAACGTAGAGAACATTTTGGAAACGACTAATTTTAAACAGTTTTTGATAAAAAAATTTTACCTATTCGCACACATTTTGTGTGTGGGGGGGGGGGGGGTTTTTGGGTTTTGGTTTATTTGTTGTTGTGTTTGTGTGTGTGTTTGTGTGTGTATTTGGGTTGGGTGTGTTTTTTTTTGGGGTAGGGGGGGGGGGTGTGTGTTGTTTTTGTTTTGTGTTGTGTTTGTTTGATTTTGTGTGGGGATTTGTGTGTGTGTGTGGTGTGGGTGTGTTGGTGTGTGTGTTTGGTTTCGTGTATGTGGGGTGTGTGTGTTTTGTGTGTTTTTTGTGTTTCGGTATGTTGTGTGGTGTGTGTTGTGGTGTGTTTTGGTTTTGTGTGTGTTTTTTTTGGTGTGTGGTGTTTTTTTTACTTTTAATTCCCTGAGACCAGAGGCACAAATAACTTCTTTTTCAGGTGTTGCAGGTGAAGGCCTCTCGTTAGTGTGCAACTTTTGTGAAATTTGAGGTGAACAAACTGTAAATTTTAGCGGGCAAGGTCGCGGCAATGGTTTTTGGCCGAATGAAGTCTCATGTGAGTTTTTAAATTGGAGGTTGAACTAAACCTCTTTTTACAGATGTCACACTGGTGTGGTTTTTCCCCAGTATGAACCAGATGGTGCTTCTGCAGGTGTGCCAGCTGTGTGAAGCTTTTGATACAGACGTTACACTTGAAGGGCCGTTCCCCTGAGTGAGTTCTTAGATGGACTTTTAAGTTGGAGAGCTGGCCGAAGGTCTTGAAGCAAACGTTGCATTCGTAGTGCATCTTGCCGTCTTTCTTCTGCAGAGGGTAGGGCAGGGAACGGTAGCCTCTGTTACCGTTAGTTGGTGAGGTGGAACCCTGGGAGGAAGGGGACCCTTGTGAGGAATGGGAGGAGTTGCTGGAGGGAGGAGAGTGCCCTGACGCAGTGTTGGGAATGGAAATTGTTAGACGATGATCTATTGGCATCGACCCTTGACTTCCTGGAGAAAATCCATTGGTACTGCTGTTATTGTATCCATTATATGAATACATGTTAAAGTGTGGAGAGGAGAACATCTGGGAGACAGGTGTGCGATAGGTGGAGTTAGTGACTGGAGGCTGGACAGTATACAACTGCTGTGGCAGTGTGTGGGAGGTGGGGTAGCACGCAGAACCTGCCTTCTGGTGCGTTGAAGAAGAATCAGGAGATATCTGTTGACTTGGCTCTGAACTGCTGTAGTTTCTCTTGTAGGGGAATTCCTGAGGCTGTCCTGAACTGCTGGAGGCACTGTCAGGCTTGTAGTGTGCCTCGCTAGGTACTGCAATATGCACTGGTTCCTTCAGGTCCCTGTGGGTGCTGACGGATGACTGTGTGATGTCAGACTCATCCTTTCCACCCAGCCGTCTCAGAAGGATGTTCTCTAAGATGGAGCCAGCTGGACGGGAAGTGCCCATTTGAGTGTCGGCTGGTACTGTCAGTCTCACATCGGCTGAGAGAGGGTGTCTGATGTCTTGTGGTCCCGGGTGTCTAGTGTCAGGCTGTACACAGTGTCTGGTGTCAGGGGGCACTGGTAAGCGAGGGTCTGGAGCCACTGTGATACGTGGGTCTTGGGGGGGCATTAGTGGCAGACGAGGGGGCATACTGCTCACGTTGACTGGCAGACCTTGCATCCGTGGCATGGATGGCAGCGGCAGGCGGCTCTGTGCCACCCTTGACTCGTGAGGCAGCGGCAGACGAACCACAGGCGGCAGACCCATGCGTGTGTCAGGTATGGATGACTGCCGCGTGTCGGAAGACACCTGTTTGGTTATTGTAATAGCGGGCAGGGCAGTGTCTGGTAGCACGGGCATGCGTGAGTCGGGCAAGACGTGAGTAGTGCGGGTATCGGGACGGGGCACTTCTGTGGGTCTGGGCACCTCGAGGGACTGACGGAGGGGCATGTCTGGCACAGGGTATCTACGGGAGGAAGGGCTCTGGGTACTTTCAGGCTCCTGTTCCCTCTCCAGGACGGAGTCCACCTTCTCCTCGCCGAAGGACGCAGAGTGTTGCGTTGCGTACGACGGAGTGCGTCGTGAAGACCCTTCCTGAGGGCCACGTTTAGGCATACCCTGGGGCAATGACTGCTGCAGGGACTGCTGCTGCAGGGGCTGCTGCTGCAGGGGCTGCTGCTGCAGGGGCTGCTGCTGCAGGGACTGCTGCTGCAGGGACTGCTGCTGCAGGGACTGCTGCTGCAGGGACTGCTGCAGAGATGCTATCCTGGTATCAGACACGGAGACAGTCTGTTGACATTCCAGTGATGGCGAGACGGACTTCTCCTTCTCCGAAGACTCGGAACCGCTGGATTTAGACCTATAGTGATAGGCTCGCAGCATCTTAATCTTCACCTTGCGATATTCATTACGAAGATCAGCCTCCTCATCCTCCGCCGGTGACTGTTTTCTCTTCTTACTGAAAACGCGAATCAAAACAGAGATTTTAGCTTCGGAAAATTTACTGACGTTAAATATTTATTTTTATCGCCAAATAAAAATTAAAAAAAAAAATTATAATTTACCTAAAATCTAAGACATAATTATTATCGCCTTCAGAATCAGACGAATCTTCAGGAATATTAGAGTCATGATGATAGCCGTTGCTGTCGTACCCTTCATCAGATCTTACGGAGCCGTCCGTGGGCGTCAGCTGCCCGCTACGAGACTCGCACTGCGGCGGCGAGATGGCGGCTCTAGCGACGGCCGATGCCGCCGGCTGCTGTGGTGAAGCAATGCTGCTACAACCTGCAGGAGGCGCCGAAGAGATTTTCTCCACTTCGCACTCATCCTTTACTTCCCCTTCTGTTTCGCCGACCTGCTGACCTGCGTACACCACACACAACATTAGTAATATCATGTATATTATTAAGTAAAATTTTTACCATCATTCACTCCATCACAGCGATACTACAGTTCAAACCTGCAAATATCCCCACCCCTCCTTCAGAGTGCAGGCACTGTACTTTCTACCTCCAGGACTCAAGTCCGGTTAACCTTTTTCTCTGAATCCCTTCATAAATGTTATCTTGTTCGCACTCCAACAGCACCAGTTATGAAAATCACTTGTCTCCACTCCTACCTAACAAGCTCAGACACGCTGGTTGGATGTCTAAGCCCCTCACACACAAAACCTCCTTTATTCCCTCCAACCCTTCCCATGACGACCCCTACCCCATCTTTCCTCCACTACAGATTTATACACCCTCTAAATCATTCTATTTTGTGCCATTCTCTCTAAATGTCTAAACTACCTCTACAACTCGTACCTCTAAATAATATTTTTAGTAACCTCAAACCTCTTTCTAATCTCCAAACTCAGAATTCCCTGCATAATATACACACCACACCATGCTTTCTGACACGACATCTCCACTGCTTCCAGTCTCCTCCTCGCTGCAACGTTTAAAGCCCATGCATCACACCCATTCAATAGAGCTGGTACCACTATACTCTCATACATGCTCGTGCACACACACACACACACACACACACACACACACACACACACACACACACACACACACACACACACACACACACACACCTTCCCCAGGATGTCACCTATCTGCCACTAGGTGAACAGGGTCAACATCCACTTTCAATCCCCCAGGATTGAGCCTGGATATTTCGATTCTAAACTAAAGGTATTACCGCTAAGCTACAATATAATTAATTTACATTCAATTCCACCAATACAATTCGTAGAATTATTATTATTATTATCATTACTTACGTATTTTAAGAAGCATTTGTTCTCCTGTTAGAGGATAGTTAAGTCTGGTAGCGAACTCTCTACAGTACCAGACTAAGAGTTCCTGGTTTGGTAGGATGGCCTTAATCGTGTAGAAGTAGATGTTAGACTGTGGGAGAGATTATTGTAGTTATAAAGTGTCTACTTATTGCTGAGATTGTCTACTTAATGCTGAGATTGTCTAATTAATAATAATTTTTTTATCAGTATATGATGCAACTTATACAGACCATAGCTGACACCTATGACATGCTACTATATAGGAAGTCCCTTGTTATGCTGGGCATTTCATGCAAATTATGTCAGTTTTGTTCCAGGATGTGACCCACACCAGTCCACTAACACCCAGGATGTGACCCACACCAGTCCACTAACACCCAGGATGTGACCCACACCAGTCCTCTAACACCCAGGATGTGACCCACACCAGTCCACTAACACCCAGGATGTGACCCACACCAGTCCACTAACACCCAGGATGTGACCCACACCACTCCACTAACACCCAGGATGTGACCCACACCAGTCTACTAACACCCAGGATGTGACCCACACCAGTCCACTAACACCCAGGATGTGACCCACACCACTCCACTAACACCCAGGATGTGACCCACACCAGTCTACTAACACCCAGGATGTGACCCACACCAGTCCACTAACACCCAGGATGTGACCCACACCACTCCACTAACACCCAGGATGTGACCCACACCACTCCACTAACACCCAGGATGTGACCCAAACCAGTCCACTAACACTCAGGATGTGACTCACACCAGTCCACTAACACCCAGGATGTGACCCACACCACTCCACTAACACCCAGGATGTGACCCACACCACTCCACTAACACCCAGGATGTGACCCACACCACTCCACTAACACCCAGGATGTGACCCACTCCACTAACACCCAGGATGTGACCCACACCAGTCCACTAACACCCAGGATGTGACCCACACCAGTCCACTAACACCCAGGATGTGACCCACACCACTCCACTAACACCCAGGATGTGACCCACACCACTCCACTAACACCAGGATGTGACCCACACCACTCCACTAACACCCAGGATGTGACCCACACCACTCCACTAACACCCAGGATGTGACCCACACCAGTCCACTAACACCCAGGATGTGACCCACACCAGTCCACTAACACCCAGGATGTGACCCACACCAGTCCACTAATACCCAGGATGTGACCCACACCAGTCCACTAACACCCAGGATGTGACCCACACCACTCCACTAACACCCAGGATGTGACCCACACCAGTCTACTAACACCCAGGATGTGACCCACACCAGTCCACTAACACCCAGGATGTGACCCACACCACTCCACTAACACCCAGGATGTGACCCAAACCAGTCCACTAACACTCAGGATGTGACCCACACCAGTCCACTAACACCCAGGATGTGACCCACACCACTCCACTAACACCGAGGATGTGACCCACTCCACTAACACCCAGGATGTGACCCACACCAGTCCACTAACACTCAGGATGTGACCCACACCAGTCCACTAACACCCAGGATGTGACCCACACCACTCCACTAACACCCAGGATGTGACCCACACCACTCCACTAACACCCAGGATGTGACCCACACCACTCCACTAACACCCAGGATGTGACCCACACCACTCCACTAACACCCAGGATGTGACCCACACCACTCCACTAACACCCAGGATGTGACCCACACCACTCCACTAACACCCAGGATGTGACCCACTCCACTAACACCCAGGATGTGACCCACACCACTCCACTAACACCCAGGATGTGACCCACACCAGTCCACTAACACCCAGGATGCCACCCACACCAGTCCACTAACACCCAGGATGCGACCCACACCACTCCACTAACACCCAGGATGCGACCCACACCACTCCACTAACACCCAGGATGTGACCCACACCACTCCACTAACACCCAGGATGTGACCCACACCACTCCACTAACACCCAGGATGTGACCCACACCACTCCACTAACACCCAGGATGTGACCCACACCACTCCACTAACACCCAGGATGTGACCCACACCACTCCACTAACACCCAGGATGTGACCCACACCACTCCACTAACACCCAGGATGTGACCCACACCAGTCCACTAACACCCAGGATGTGACTCACACCAGTCCACTAACACCCAGGATGTGACCCACACCAGTCCACTAACACCCAGGATGTGACCCACACCAGTCCACTAACACCCAGGATGTGACCCACACCACTCCACTAACACCCAGGATGTGACCCACACCAGTCCACTAACACCCAGGATGTGACTCACACCAGTCCACTAACACCCAGGGTGCGACCCACACCAGTCCACTAACACCCAGGGTGCGACCCACACCAGTCCACTAACACCCAGGATGTGACCCACACCAGTCCACTAAAACCCAGGATGTGACCCACACCAGTCCACTAACACCCAGGATGTGACCCACACCAGTCCACTAACACCCAGGATGTGACCCACACCAGTCCACTAACACCCAGGATGTGACCCACACCAGTCCACTAACACCCAGGATGTGACCCACACCAGTCCACTAACACCCAGGATGTGACCCACACCACTCCACTTCTATACAATAACAAATTCATATATAACTTAGAACTAATGGATGGTATCATAATGGATGTTAACAAAATGAGTTTTACGTAATGGATGTTAACGTAATCACTTTTAACGTAATGCATTACAAACTATAAGAACAAAACATTATACAATATGGATGGAATTGATCGATCGATCTGTATTCATGCACTCTACGGATTCTGAGGAAGAATAAATATATATATATACAAAGTGAAATTAGCAGCAAAGGCATCTGGTGCACTCAGACTATTACTGTCAAATTCTCAGAATACGGAGGGAACGTGAACACGAAAATAAAAAAAAAAAATTCTGAAAAACTAATCAGTTAATAACAAACAGTTGACAGTTTACTTCATCTCGGACATCTAGTTATACAGACTATGAACATTTAAACCCAATTCTGCGAGGGTGAGGTTTACGTATGCAGAATGGTTATCATCTCTGGGAGGATCGAATTCCTCTGCAATGGCTAACACATGCCTTGACTGAGGGAGATCTGAACAAGTATCTACAAAAGATACTTGTGGGTTTCTCATTACTTGTCGAGTACGCAAGGAGTAACGACATTCAGGTTGGTTATCTGACTGAGTATCTGAGGTAGAGGGTACAGAGTCAAGAGGATTTTCAGCATCTGTCATATTAGTCTGGGTAGCAATATCGTCAACATCGCATACTAATTTCATATGATCTAAATGCGATTCTTTGTATTTGCCAGTACTAATTTCTCTAACCTTATACTTATTACCAGAGATATGTTCTAATCGATAAGGTCCGAAAAAAACTTTTGATCGAGCTTAGGCATTTCGGATGTTTTGTTGAAATTTGTCAGCATTATCTTGAACCTACTTTGACTTTTGAGGCTTAGCACGGCTATTATTACTCTAGTAAATTTGCTTTTGATTTATGAAGTGTTTCACGGATTCTTCAAAAAAAACACTCTGAACCATGCTGGTACGAGTTGTACGAAATCATCAGGGTTGTAATTAGGTTTCGGAGTGGAATATAAAACCTCATAGGGTTTAAATGCTTGTCTACACCATACAATGCATAATGTGGAGTATCACTTTTGGAAGCATTATAAGCAGATTTATGGCACATTGAACATCGGGTTTATGACTTCAACCCAGTTTCATTTATTGGGGTTGATAGTGGCTCTCAGGACATCAAGTACTTTCTTATTGGTTGTTTGGCTAACCCATTGCTGCAGGATGATGAGGAAAACGGTGGATTTAGAGATCTTGTACAAGTACACAAATTTTCAAGAATCTCATTACAGAATTCACCTCCATTATCTGTTACTAGGACTTGGGGTGGTATGCCTGCAGATAATGCGTTCTTTAAACGCTTTAGCTATGTCTCTGCAGTCTTATCTGCAATAGGAACTAACTCACAATATTGGTGAAATGGTTTTTCCCCATAACACACAGATGTTTGTTGCCTTGGAGGGAACATTGGAAATTGGTTAACAAATCAAGGGCAACTTTTTCCCCACGGTTCGCTAGTGGTTGGGTACACTTGGATTGGATTAGGACCATTGACATTTCCTTTATGTTGCATTACAGACACTACATTTCTTAACATACTCGGAAATGTCAGTTGCCATACGTGGCCAAAAGTATTTCATTCTGGCTTGTTTCACAGAAACGATCCATACCAGGGTGTGCAACACCTGGTGCATCATGAACTGCTGTAGAGCTACGTTCACTAGTGACTGTGGAATTACTAACTGGAAAACTCTTCTACTTGGAGTACCCAACTCGGCTGTTCGATACAGTAATTCTTGGCTCATTACAAAGCCCAACTGATGGGTGCTGGTGGCTTCACAGTAAGAATAAGATCTTCCTGGAGCAGGAATCGAATCACCCCGGGAACCCCATGGGATCTGTTCTTTGGGCATTTTTGACATCCTCGACAGTAAATGGAGGATCTGCATTTAACAAACACTAACGTGTCGCGATAAAGCATCTGCGACTACGTTGGGACTTGCCAGGAAAATATTCAAAAGTGGATTGAACTCTTGGATAGTCAAGGTCCATCTGGCTAACCTTCCAGTAGGCTGTTTTGTTCTGGAATAAAAGGTATCAGTGGAGCGTGGTCTGTCAAGACATGAAACAGGGTACTGGTAAATAATGTCTCGGAAGTGTTTTTAAAGACCATACTATTGCTAAAGCTTCTTGCTCAGTACTGTATAATTTACGTTCAGCCTTGTAAGGACTCCGTAGCAAATGCAACTGCGTTGTACTTGCTATCAAGTCTTCTGAGCTAGTACGGCACCTATACCAATTGAACTAGCTTCAGTTGTCAGATAGAGGGCTTAGAAAAATTCTGGGAATTTCAAATTGGAGCAGATGTTAGCTTTTCTTTAAGAGTTTGGAATGCTCTTTCTTGACGGAAGGTCCAAACAAAAGGAGCATCTTTCTTAAGCAATTCAGTTAGCGGAGCAGCTATGGAAGAAAAATTGGCAATGAAAGTTCTATAAAAACCTGCTAAGCCCACAAAGGATCTTACGGCATCAGCAGTTTTGGGAGTTGGAAAATTTAGTACTGCAGTTACTTTACTTTGATCAGTCGTAACCCCTCTAGGAGTTACTACGTGACCAAGAAATTTAATTTCTGATCTGAAAAATTGACATTTGGACAGTTTGATCTTTAAATTTGCTTCTTCAAGCTTGCCAAGTACTATATCAAGTCTTTTCAGGTGTGTGTCCACGTCTTCGGACTGCGTTTACGTCGTCAAAGTAACACCATAAGTGCTTTACCTATAAGACCTCTAAAGATGTTCGTCATGAGTCTAGAGAACGTGATAGGAGATGAACGTAATCCAAACGCCATATGGAGGAAGTGATAATGACCTGTGGGAGTGGAGAATGCAGTTAACTCTTGGCTTGTTGGTGAGGGGCTCTTGATTTAGGGAATTGGATCTGTGCTCCAGTTCCCTGAATTAAGCTTGAATGCCTTCCACATCTCCCCCCAGGTGCTGTATAATCCTCCGGGTTTAGCGCTTCCCCCTTGATTATAATAATAATAAACTCTTGGCTGTCTTGTGAAGAGGGACTTGCCAAAAACCTTGTAACAAGTCCAGGGTCGAGAAGACTTTTTTTTATCTCCGATATTGCGTAAAAGATCACCTAGTACAGGAAGTGGGAAACGATCTGGAATGGTTTTTGATTTAACTTCCTAAAGTCAATCCCGGGCGCCAAGTGCCGTCCTTCTTAGGCACTAGGATCAAGGGCGCATTCCAGGGTGAATTGCTAGGTGCAATAACTCCATCATTGAGCATTTTTATTGATCAGTTCCTCTGCGACAGGGAATTGGGAATGAGGCATTCTGTACGCAGGTATATAAATAGGTCCCGGTACCAGGTTCAAGTGGAATTTCGATGGAACAATAAGTTCGTTATACCCATCTTCTCACCTGGTAAGGCAAAGGCTGTTTCGACGTTTGTTCAACAGCGTCAACAAGCGTGGACTTCGTCTGGGAAATCAGTGGGAGCTGAGTCTTTCTCCTAACTGGTGGGATAGATTGATCCAGCGGAGTGGATGAGGTCTCCACTGTTGAAATAGTACCGACCCACTGGTCAGGTGGCACGTCATCCTGTACTTTAACAGGGGTAAGGTAAATGAATTTGGACAACGAGGTTGTATTTGCTCTGAGACGAACACTGTGACCCAAAATGTTAGCAAGGGGTAATGGATCTTTGTCTTTACAATGTGTAAGGAAGGTTCAACAAATAACCCTTTTACCTTGCAGGAAACACTGTCAACTAGGACGTTATCACCTCTGGAAATTAGGAACAAAACAGACACTCTAGTGAGAGGCACTAGCCGCAACAGGACGTCTTTCTGCAGGGCGGCGGTGTGACATCAACAAGAGATGGCTTATCTGTTTAAAATAATCGTTTTCCGACAAGGGTCCCCTTTGGAGAAAAACTACTACTTGGCTAGCAGACATTGCAGGGATAGGCAGAGCACTCAAAGCAGTCTGAGCGTCCTCGGACACTTGAGGCAATACATATCTTGCATATCTGAAGGTGTAGGTGGAACACAGATGGGAGTGACAGAGTTACCAGTGCCTGACCGCTTGGGTACACTACGGGAGGGAATGCATTGGCTTGTAAGGACTTAATGCATACATCATACTCTGCAGCAGTATGACAGATTTTTGATCCAAGCTGGTAACCCCAGAATGGAACGATCGAGTCGTCAGTTTGGGCATGCCACCTGTACGGGTCGAGCACCCTGCGTTTAAATCTCGCATGGAAGCAAATCCCAGTAGAAGGTCACCAGGGAAAGTAATCTAGTCGACAAGGGAAAAACAGCGGGAAAGTCTCTTCCCTTTGGGTAGTAAAGGTGAGCAAAGTTGACCTCGGACTCGCAGAAGAGAACAGCTTTCTCCACTAAGGGAGGTTACAGTAGTTGGTTTTAACGAGGAGGACACGTCGTTAACTGCTTCACTTTAAACAAGCTAGACCTAAAGATATTAACTTGCGCACCAGAGTCCATGAACACATGAATGGGCGCATTATGGACAAAAGCTTTGTACTAATGGACCAATCGTTTCGTTAGGAGTTATATGCAAACAGAAAGGTGGGTTGTCTGGAGAAGGCATTTTCTACTTCATCCTCAAATTCCTCTACGTAGAACGGTGTGAAGCAGCATCAAAAGCAGGGCTGTCAATCTCAAGGCTGGCTAAGGCTTCATAGGAATTCTGGACTGGGATGGTGTTTCTCGTTATCACCTATACTGTCACGACTGGACGGTAGACTTGGGTGCTCGGATTCCCCCGAATTGGAGAATGAGCCTGGTTTTGGTTAGTTTGTGAACCACGACGTCTGTCTTCCTCTCCCGGCTCTGCGGTTGGAACGGCCACGGAACGATCTAGAGTACTGCATGTTGTAGAGAGCATTGCATCAGAAGTGTCATGTCCATGAATTCTATGATAAGTACAGTAGGGAAGATCTGACTGGTACTCTATCAGTTCGACGCTTCTTAGGGTGACTGTCATTTACAAATTTAAAAGCAATATGGCCATGGTAACCACAATTGTAGCAAACTCTTTGACTGTGGGTACTGTACGTACTAGGGTGCTACGGGAATGATGGCTCTTAACACTTGCTTTGGATGATGGACCCCGAGTGGGTTAGGTTGGGAGTTTTGGTAGTAGCACAAACTAGAGGGGGTACAGGGGTTGGACAAGGTGTTTGGTATTGACTTAAGATAAGGGAAGGTTCCCTCGGGACAAAATTTCGTACATGGATTAGAGCTGCAAGCAGTCCCATAGTAGCATTTTAGTGGACTTTAATTGTACACATACCTAGATTTTCGGTGGCATTAGTTGTTTAATAACTCCAAATGCAGCTAATTTGGCAAACCCATCAAGGGCTGGTTTATCGTTATCTTTAAGGTACTTTGAACTTTGACCTGCTTTAACGAATGAGGACATTAGGTTATTAAGACGAAGAGCAAACTCATCTAATGACTCTTCTGGTCTCGGAGCTGTGCAAACTAATTCTTTGAGAACAATGAACGGATCGGTTTCTCGCACCGGTTCAAGATAATTGCGAATTAACTGATCATAATCTTGCCACCTGGTTAGATCTTGGAAGTCCTTCATACAAATTAAGTTAAATACATATGAGGCTGCCACCATTTATCGTAGGGGTTCTTAAATGGAGATATCGAGGGTTGAAGGTAGACACACTTGTTGGATGGTAACATATATTGTCAGACTGAGCTGATGAGGAATGGAGCCCAGCCTTGCCGTGTTCTTGTCTGGATGGTCTGCCTCCGAGTGAGCGGGAGGCAGAGGTACGAGCCTACACATGCGCATCCCGTGACGTCACACAAAGTCACAGGCCTACAAGGGATCTCCTATCTAAAGCACATGGATGATACTAATATGCTATGCTATATAACACAGGGATCAGCAACTATGCTGACACACTAACACCCAGGATGTGACCCAGACCAATCCACTGACACCCAGGATGCCACCCACACCAGTCCACTAACACCCAGGATGCCACCCACACCAGTCCACTAACACCCAGGATGCCACCCACACCAGTCCACTAACACCCAGGATGCCACCCACACCAGTCCACTAACACCCAGGATGTGATCCACACTAGTCCACTAACACCCAGGTACCTATTTTACTGATGGGTGAACATAGACATCCGGTGTAAGGAAACACGCCCATTGTTTCTACCCTAACCGGGAATCGAACCCGGACACCTAGCCGTGTGAAGAGAGAGCTTCACATTTGTGTGTGTGTGTGTGTGTGTGTGTGTGTGTGTGTGTGTGTGTTAAAACATTTACCAAACTGCGATTGGCCAGGGTTCGACCCCACGACACACTGTCCCGCCTCAAGTGACAACTCAACGTACGTGTCGCCCTACCCACTCAGCCATCGATCCTACAAACAACATGAACCTAGCGAACTAGGCTTGTTTCTTGTTGCGGGAACACTCATGGCACTGATATACTCAAGGATAATTACAAACCACCTCCTATATGAAATAGAAAATATAGTTACCTTGTACTGACAAGCAATCAGGTTCTGTGCCTGGCTGCTGTAGGCTGGGTTGACGTATCTCATCCAGTTAGCCTTACTGGTGTTGTAGCCGTCTATGTAGTAGTACACTTCATCACCTCTGTACACCTGTAACACATGTACTACTGTAACACTGTACACTTGTAACGTAGGTTTATGTAGCAGGGTTGTTCCTCTTATATAAACAAGATGGAAAATGGTTTGGGTAAGTATTTTGATTGGGTCAGTAGGCCTCCTGCAGTGCTCCTCTGTTCTTATGTGTCAAGTATTCCTCTACATTCCTCTCTATATTACTCTCTACATTCCTCTACATTAATTTCTACATTTTCTCGTAATATGTATTTGAGAAACATCTGAGATCACAGTAGTTGTGGTAGTACTAGTACTAGTAGTAATAGTAGTAGTAGTAAGAGTAGTAGTAGTAAGAGTAGTAGTAAGAGTAGTAGTAGTAGTAATAGTACTAGTAGTAATAGTAGTAATAGTAGTAGTAAGAGTAGTAGTAAGTATAGTATAGTAATAATAGTAGTAGTAGTAATAGTAGTAGTAGTAATATAGTAATAGAGTAGTAGTAGTAAAGATAGTAGTAGTAATAGTACTAGTATAAATAGTAAAGTAAGTAGTAAGAGTAGTAGTATAGTAATAGTACTAGTAGTAGTAGTAATAGTAACTAGTAAGTAATAGTAATAGTAATAGTACTAGTAGTAATAGTAATAGTACTAGTAGTATAGTAATAGATAGTAAGTAGTAAGTAGTAAGTAGTAATAGTACTAGTAGTATAGTATAGTAGTAATAGTTACTAGTAGTAATAGTACTAGTAGTAGTAATAGTAGTATAATAGTACTAGTAGTAATAGTATAGTAAAGTTAGTAATAGTACAGTAGTAGTAGTACTAGTATAGTAATAGTACTAGTAGTAATAGTAGTAATAGTACTAGTATAGATAGTAATGTAGTAAAGTAGTAGTAAAGTAGTAGTAATAGTACAGTAGTAATAGTACTAGTAGTAGATAGTACTAGTAGATAGTAGTATATATAGTATAGTATAGTAATAGTACTAGTAGTATAGTAATAGTAGTATAGTAAGTAGTAATAGTACAGTAGTAAGTACTAGTAGTAGTAGTAATAGTACAGTAGTAATAGTACTAGTAGTAATAGTAGTAATAGTAATAGTACTAGTAGTAGTACTAGCAGTAGTAGTACTAGTAGTAAGTAATAGTACTAGTAGTAGTAATAGTGGTAATACTACTAGTAGTAGTAATAGTAGTGACAATAGTACTAGTAGTAGTAGTAATAGTACTAGTAGTAGTAATAGTACTAGTAGTAGTAGTAATAGTGGTAATACTACTAGTAGTAGTAGTAATAGTGGTAATACTACTAGTAGTAGTAGTAATAGTGGTAATAGTACTAGTATTAGTAGTAATAGTAATAGTACTAGTAGTAGTAGTAATAGTACTAGTAGTAGTAGTAATAGTGGTAATACTAGTAGTAGTAGTAGTAATAGTAGTGGTAATAGTACTAGTAGTAGTAGTAATAGTAATAGTACTAGTAGTAGTAATAGTATAGTAATAGTAATACTATTAATAGTAATAATAGTGGTAGTAATAGTGCCAGTACTATATGGCTTTAACAGGATCAAGCAGTAACAACATACAAGCAGTAACAACATACAAGCAGTAACAACATACAAGCAGTAACAACATACAAACAGTAACAACATACAAGCAGTAACAACATACAAGCAGTAACAACATACAAGCAGTAACAACATACAAGCAGTAACAACATACAAGCAGTAACAACATACAAACAGTAACAACATACAAGCAGTAACAACATACAAGCAGTAACAACATACAAGCAGTAACATACAAGCAGTAACAACATACAAGCAGTAACAACATACAAGCAGTAACAACATACAAGCAGTAACAACATACAAGCAGTAACAACATACAAGCAGTAACATACAAACAGTAACAACATACAAGCAGTAACAACATACAAGCAGTAACAACATACAAGCAGTAACATACAAGCAGTAACATACAAGCAGTAACAACATACAAGCAGTAACAACATACAAGCAGTAACATACAAGCAGCAACAACATACAAGCAGTAACAACATACAAGCAGTAACAACATACAAGCAGTAACAACATACCAGGTACAGATATTTACCTGCAGATGTTTGCCCAGTCCCAGATCTACCTAAGAGAGAAAAAATACAAGAACCAATCACCAGCAAGCATTGTACCCAACACCTGTGTCTGTATACCCAACACCTGTGTCTGTGTGCCCAACACCTGTGTGCCCAACACCTGTCTGTATACCCAACACCTGTGTCTGTATACCCAAAACCTGTGTCTGTGTGCCCAACACCTGTGTTTGTATACCCAACACCTGTGTCTGTATACCCAACATCTGTGTCTGTGTGCTCAACACCAGTGTTTGTATACCCAACACCTGTGTTTGTATCCCCAACACCTGTGTCTGTATACCCAACACCTGTGTCTGTATACCCAACACCTGTGTCTGTATACCCAACACCTGTGTCTGTATACCCAACACCTGTGTCTGTATACCCAACACCTGTGTCTGTATACCCTACACCTGTGTCTGTATACCCAACACCTGTGTCTGTATACTCAACACCTGTGTCGGTGTATCCAACATCTATGTATGTGTACCCAACACCTATGTAAGTGTACCCAACACCTGTGTCAGTCTACCCAACACCTGTGTCAGTCTACCCAACACCTGTGTCAGTATACCCTTTGTCTATATACCCAACACTTGCTTGTATACCAAAGCACACGAGACCTGCTACCACCACTCAAGAATAGCAGGTATTAAACCAGGTATTAAATTATTTAGATGGCATGCAATCTTAACCCTGGTGTAGTAGATAGACTTCAAACCCCATTAAAGTCGTAGACATCTCGGCAACGACCCCTCCCCCTCGACACAGTTGGCTAGCTACTGTCTACTACACCAGGGTCATTAAGACAGGTTGGTTAATGGGGTTTAAAGTCTGTGTACTACACCAGGGTCATTAAGTCTGGTTGGTTAATGGGGTTTAAAGTCTGTCTACTACACCAGGGTCATTAAGACTGGTTGGTTAATGGGGTTTAAAGTCTGTCTACTACACCAGGGTCATTAAGTCTGGTTGGTTAATGGGGTTTAAAGCCTGTCTACTACACCAGGGTCATTAAGACTGGTTGGTTAATAGGGTTTAAAGTCTGTCTACTACACCAGGGTCATTAAGACTGGTTGGTTAATGGGTTTAAAGTCGTCTTCTATACACCAGGGTCATTAAGACTGGTTGGTTAATGGGGTTTAAAGTCTGTCTACTACACCAGGGTCATTAAGACTGGTTGGTTAATGGGGTTTAAAGTCTGTCTACTACACCAGGGTCATTAAGGCTGGTTGGTTAATGGGGTTTAAAGCCTGTCTACTACACCAGGGTCATTAAGACTGGTTGGTTAATGGGGCTTAAAGTCTATCTATTACACCAGGGTCATTAAGACTGGTTAGATTGATAGAATATAGAGGTATAAGTGTGTGTGTGTGTGTGTTCATCACTGGGTTACCTCAGGGATATCTTGTTCATCACAGGGATACTAATAAAGACAATAGAACTGGTCAATAACGAGAGGCAGTTGAAGGCAGTGAGAGACAACCTCCCTTACTGTGTACTGTGCTAATACTGGTACAGTTGCAAATAATAAAATTAACTAAGATTAATGACAGAGACCAGGAAGCAGATATTATTGCTATAACAGAGACCAGGAAGCAGATATTATTGTTATAACAGAGACCAGGAAGCAGATATTATTGCTATAACAGAGACCAGGAAGCAGATATTATTGCTATAACAGAGACCTGATTCAACCTGACAGAGATATGCCTTCTGAATGCCACATACAAGGCTACATATTATTCCACACTGATAGGGCCAACAGGAAGTGGTGGAGTGACGATGCATTTCAGAGATTATTTAAACTATTGTACCAGACAAGATATAAAATTAGAAGCGTCGGACACAGACTCTGGCTACAGTTCCTCGAGGGTCGTAAAGAAGTAATCTTGGGTTCGAGTTACAGGCCACGTAACCTTCATAGGGACGAATTTCATAAAGAATCTAAATACGAAAATGCTGTGCTAATGGGGGATTTTAACTTTAGACAAACTGGAGCAATTTGATAGGAAATCTTGAGTCAAGTGACCTTGTTGATACGATCCAGGATTGTTTTAAACAATTTGTGACAGAATCAACTAGAGAAAACGTCCTGCTTGACTTGGTTCTTGCCAGTAAGTTGAACCCATGTATCAGTAACCTTTCTTACGAGGCTAGACTGAGGGGCCTGAATCTGTACTCTCTAGAAAAGCGTTGAATTAGGGAGATATGATTGAGGTGTATAAATGGAAGACAGGAATAAATAAAAGGGATGTAAGTGATGTGCTAAAAATATCTAACCAAGTCGGGGCTCGCAGCAATGGTTTCAAATTGAGAAAATTTAGATTGTGAAAGGATATAGGAAAGTACTGGTTTGGTAATAGAGTTGTGGATGAGTGGAACAAACTCCCGAGTACCGTCATAGAAGCTAAAACGTTGTGTAGTTTTAAAAATAGGTTGGATAAATACATGAGTGGGTGTGGGGTGGATCTGACTAGCTTGGACCAGGAGGCCTCCTGCAGTGCTCCTTCCTTCATTAGACTAAACCCTATTAACCAACCAGCCAGTCTTAATGATCCTCGTGTAGTAGATAGACTTTAAACCCCATTAACCAACCAATCAATCTTAATGAGCCTGGTGTAGTAGATAGACTTTAAACCCCATTAACCAACCAATCAATCTTAATGACCCTGGTGTAGTAGACTTTAAACCCCATTAACCAACCCTAATTTAGGAAATATACAGCAAATTAACCTAACATCAAATAGGTACGTTAAAATTACCCAAACCCACACAACAGATACACACACACACACACATACACAGGAGCTGTGACTCGACCCCTGCAACCACAAATAGGTGAGCGCACACACACAGTACCTACCCTCCAGAAGTATTTCCTGTTAGCAGTCTTGGGCACCTGATCCTTGGCGTAGCACTCGCCCACCAGGGGTCCGAACCGTGTGCCCCTGGGTATGTAGTCAGTGCTCCAGATGCCCATCACCTGCTGGGCGATGTTTCTAACATTAAAACCTCTACCATAAACCACATTAAAACCTCTACCATAAACCACATTAAAACCTCTACCATAAACCACATTAAAACCTCTACCATAAACCACATAACTGGTTTATCTACGACAAAAAATATAAATTCTTCTTGGATATATAAATTCTGTATGAATGTTTGTATTACTAAGTGTATATATGTGTGTATACATTGAGAAGTGTATATAATATACTGAGAAGTGTATATCTAAGTGTGTATATACTGAAGTGTATATCTGAGTGTGTGTATATACTGAGAAGTGTATATCTCAGTGTTTGTATATACTGAGAAGTGTATATCTGAGTGTGTGTATATACTGAGAAGTGTATACTGAGAAGTGTATATCTCAGTGTTTGTATATACTGAGAAGTGTATATCTGAGTGTGTGTATATATTGAGAAGTGTATATCTCAGTGTGTGTGTATATACTGAGAAGTGTATATCTGAGTGTGTATATACTGAGAGGTGTATATACTGAGAGGTGTATATATCTCAGTGTGTATATACTGAGAGGTGTATATATCTCAGTGTGTATATACTGAGAGGTGTATATATCTCAGTGTTATATACTGAGAGGTGTATATATCTCAGTGTGTATATACTGAGAGGTGTATATATCTGTGTGTATATACTGAGAGGTGTATATATCTCAGTGTGTATATACTGAGAGGTGTATATATCTCAGTGTGTATATACTGAGAGGTGTATATATCTGAGAGTGTATATACTGAGAGGTGTATATATCTCAGTGTGTATATACTGAGAGGTGTATATATCTCAGTGTGTATATACTGAGAGGTGTATATATCTGTGTGTATATACTGAGAGGTGTATATATCTGAGAGTGTATATACTGAGAGGTGTATATATCTGTGTGTATATACTGAGAGGTGTATATATCTGAGTGTGTATATACACCGAGGAGTGTATATATCAGTCAATATACACTGACAGTATAGTCAGAAGTATACACCAGTTGTATATCATCTCACTAAGCAGTTATTAGTTAACTTAGTTTCACATTTTTTTGATTCGCCGGTATACTCCCGGCCCGGGCCTTTTTCAAGTGGTGGCCCGGGCCTTTTTCAAGTGGTGGCCCGGCCTTGACTCCCTATCTAGGGAGTGTCTGAGACCTAAGTCTGCCAAGGGAGGAGGTACAAGTATCTCCTCATCTTCTGGGACCAAGTGTCCCCAGGCCTAGCTACAGTCCCCGCCCTCACAGGGCTCGTAGGGAGAAGCTAGGCCTCTCTAGTTTGTCATCCCCGCCCCGAGGGGGATGCTAGGCCTCTGGTCTGCCATCCCCACCGGGAAGCTAGGCCTCTCTGGTCTGCCATCCCCGCCCCGAGGGGGATGCTAGGCCTCTGGTCTGCCATCCCCACCGGGAAGCTAGGCCTCTCTGGTCTGCCATCCCCGCTCCGAGGGGGATGCTAGGCCTCTGGTCTGCCATCCCCGCCCCGAGGGGGATACTAGGCCTCTGGTCTGCCATCCCCGCCCCGAGGGGGATACTAGGCCTCTGGTCTGCCATCCCCGCCCCGAGGGGGATGCTAGGCCTCTGGTCTGCCATCCCCGTCCCAGGGGGAAGCTAAGCCCTGGTCTGCCATCCCCTCCCCGAGGGAAATGCTAGGCCTCTCTGGTCTGCCATCCCCGCCCCGAGGGGGATACTAGGCCTCTGGTCTGCCATCCCCGCCCCGAGGGGGATACTAGGCCTCTGGTCTGCCATCCCCGCCCCGAGGGGGATGCTAGGCCTCTGGTCTGCCATCCCCGTCCCAGGGGGAAGCTAAGCCTCTGGTCTGCCATCCCCTCCCCGAGGGAGATGCTAGGCCTCTCTGGTCTGCCATCCCCGCCCCGAGGGGGATGCTAGGCCTCTGGTCTGCCATCCCCGCCCCGAGGGAGAAGCTAGGCCTCTGGTCTGCCATCCCCGCCCCGAGGGAGAAGCTAGGCCTCTGGTCTGCCATCCCCGCCCCGAGGGGGATGCTAGGCCTCTGGTCTGCCATCCCCACCCCGAGGGGAAGCTAGGCCTCTCTGGTCTGCCATCCCCGCCCCGAGGGGGATGCTAGGCCTCTGGTCTGCCATCCCCGCCCCGAGGGGGAAGCTAGGCCTCTCTGCTCTGCCATCACCGCCCCGAGGGGGAAGCTAGGCCTCTCTGGTCTGCCATCCCCGCCCCGAGGGGGAAGCTAGGCCTCTGGTCTGCCATCCCCGCCCCAGGGGGAAGCTAGACCTCTGGTCTGCCATCCCTGCCCCAGGGGGAAGCTAGACCTCTGGTCTGCCATCCCTGCCCCAGGGGGATGCTAGGTCTCTGGTCTGCCATTCCCGCCCCGAGGGGGATGCTAGGCCTCTGGTCTGCCATCACCGCCCCAGGGGGATGCTAGGCCTCTGGTCTGCCATCAGCGCCCCGAGGGAAAAGCTAGGCCTCTGGTCTGCCATCCCCGCCCCGAGGGGGATGCTAGGCCTCTGGTCTGCCATCCCCGCCCCAGGGGGATGCTAGGCCTCTGGTCTGCCATTCCCGCCCCGAGGGGGATGCTAGGCCTCTGGTCTGCCATCCCCGCCCCAGGGGGATGCTAGGCCTCTGGTCTGCCATCCCCGCCCCAGGGGGATGCTAGGCCTCTGGTCTGCCATCCCCGCCCCAGGGGATGCCAGGCCTCAGGTCTGCCATCCCCGCCCCAGGGGGATGCTAGGCCTCTGGTCTGCCATCCCCGCCCCGAGGGGGAAGCTGAGCCTCTGGCCTGCCATCCCCGCCCCAGGGGGATGCTAGGCCTCTGGTCTGCCATCCCCGCCCCAGGGGGATGCTAGGCCTCTGGTCTGCCATCCCCGCCCCAGGGGGATGCTAGGCCTACTGGTCTGCCATCCCCGCCCCAGAGGGATGCGGGCCTCTGGTCTGCCATCACCCCCAGGGGGATGCTGGGCCTCTGTGTCTGCCATCCCCGCCCCAGGGGGATGCTGGGCCTCTGGTCTGCCATCCCCGCCCCAGGGGGATGCTAGGCCTCTGGTCTGCCATCCCCGCCTCAGGGGGATGCTAGGCCTCTGGTCTGCCATCTCCGCCCCAGGGGATGCTAGGCCTCTGGTCTGCCATCCCCGCCCCAGGGGGATGCTAGGCCTCTGGTCTGCCATCCCCGCCGCAGGGGGATGCTGGGCCTCTGGTCTGCCATCCCCGCCCCAGGGGGATGCTGGGCCTCTGGTCTGCCATCTCCGCCCCAGGGGGATGCTGGGCCTCTGGTCTGCCATCCCCGCCCCAGGGGATGCTGGGCCTCTGGTCTGCCATCCCGCCCCAGGGGGATGCTGGGCCTCTGGTCTGCCATCCCCGCCCCAGGGGGATGCTGGGCCTCTGGTCTGCCATCCCCGCCCCAGGGGGATGCTGGGCCTCTGGTCTGCCATCCCCGCCCCAGGGGGATGCTGGGCCTGTGGTCTGCCATCCCCGCCCCAGGGGGATGCTAGGCCTCTGGTCTGCCATCCCCGCCCCAGGGGGATGCTAGGCCTCTGGTCTGCCATCCCCGCCCCAGGGGGATGCTAGGCCTCTGGTCTGCCATCCCCGCCCAGGGGGATGCTGGGCCTCTGGTCTGCCATCCCCGCCCCAGGGGGATGCTGGGCCTCTGGTCTGCCATCCCCGCCCCAGGGGGTATGCTGGGCCTCTGGTCTGCCATCCCCGCCCCAGGGGGATGCTGGGCCTCTGGTCTGCCATCCCCGCCCCAGGGGATGCTGGGCCTGTGGTCTGCCATCCCCGCCCCAGGGGGATGCTAGGCCTCTGGTCTGCCATCCCCGCCCCAGGGGGATGCTAGGCCTCTGGTCTGCCATCCCCGCCCCAGGGGGATGCTAGGCCTCTGGTCTGCCATCCCCGCCCCAGGGGGATGCCAGGCCTCAGGTCTGCCATCCCCGCCCCAGGGGGATGCTAGGCCTCTGGTCTGCCATCCCCGCCCCAGGGGATGCTAGGCCTCTGGTCTGCCATCCCCGCCCCAGGGGGATGCTAGGCCTCTGGTCTGCCATCCCCGCCCCAGGGGGATGCTAGGCCTCTGGTCTGCCATCCCCGCCCCAGGGGGATGCTGGGCCTCTGGTCTGCCATCCCCCGCCCCAGGGGATGCCGGGCCTCAGGTCTGCCATCCCCGCCCCAGGGGGATGCTGGGCCTCTGGTCTGCCATCCCCGCCCCAGGGGGATGCTGGGCCTCTGGTCTGCCATCCCCGCCCCAGGGGGATGCTAGGCCTCTGGTCTGCCATCCCCGCCCCAGGGGGATGCTAGGCCTCTGGTCTGCCATCCCCGCCCCAGGGGGATGCTGGGCCTCTGGTCTGCCATCCCCGCCCCAGGGGGATGCTGGGCCTCTGGTCTGCCATCCCCGCCCCAGGGGGATGCTGGGCCTCTGGTCTGCCATCCCCGCCCCAGGGGGATAATGACAGAAATAACAAAAAGTCGCAACACCGTGACTGGAACAATACACAGATAATAGTATTAGTAATAGTTGCAATAGTAGTAGTAGTGGTAGTAGTAGTAATAGTAGTACTAATAGTAGTAGTAGTAATAGTAGTAGTAATTGTATTAGTAATAGTAATTGTAGTAGTAATAGTAATAGTATAGTAATAGTAATAGTCGTAGTAATAGTAATAGTCGTAGTAGTAGTAGTAATAGAAATAGCAGTAGTAGTAGTAGTAATAGCAGAAATAGTTGTAGCAGTAATAGTAGAAATAGCAGTAATAGTAGAAATAGTAGTAACAGTAGTATACTATGAATTAGTACTCACATCAGAGATAGTATGAGAGTCCTTGAGGACCAGGTTCCTGGGCAGTGACAACGTTGCGTGGTTATCACAGTTGTCCTCAGTCGGGGTGTCAGGGACCAGGTACACTGCTCTCTCCTCCCATTCTTCTTCCTTAATAGACTCAATGTCCCATTCCTCTCCCATCCTGGCTGGCTGAGAAATGTATCAACTCATATGAGACACAAAATACGTATTAAAGCAGGTTTAGCGTAGCCACCCCGTGATATTTTTCTCTTAGGTATAACTCGTGTAAAAATAAGAAATCTGATTTTAATTTCATTAGTTCCAGTTCTTGAATGGATGTCCTCAGTACCCTATTTATGTGCTACCGTCTAAGAGGCTATGACCTTAATTTTTAAAGGGGTGGACCGGTAAGCCAGCGGAAGGCGTCGGTCAGATGACCGGAAGCTCAAACAGCGGGTCATTATCTAAGACCTGGATCAGGAAACATTTGATATTTCCTGACTAACCTTACCTAACCTCAACCTCAGGTACCTAGGTTTGTCCTGTTTCCTGACTAACCTTACCTAACCTCAACCTAAGGTACCTAGGTTTGTCCTGTTTCCTGACAAACCTTACCAACCAACCAAGGCACCTAGGGATTGGTGCCCTTTGTATAAAGGAAAATGGATAAGAGAGTGAAAAGTTATAGGGAAATGAGCCTGGTAGAGTTGTTATTGAAAAAATTAATAGTAAGACCGATAACAGATGAACAGGGAGGCTTTAGGAAAGGTAGGAGGTGTGTAGACCAGTTGTTTACAGTGAGACATATAGGTGAATAGGTCAGAGGTTTTTGTGGCATTTATGGATTAGGAAAAGGCATATGATAGGTTGGATAGGGTGGCAATATGGCAGATGTTTCGAGTGTATGGAATAGGAGGTAGATTATTGAAAGCAGTGAAGAGTTTTTATGAGGACAGTGAGGCTCAGGTTAGAATATGTAGGAGGGAGATTATTTTCCAGTAAAAGTAGGCTTTAGACGGCATGTGTGATGTCACTATGGTTGTTTAATATATTTATAGATGGTGTTGTCAGAGAAGTTAATGCTCGAGTGTTGGCAAGAGGTGTGGAGTTAAAAGATAAAGAATCTAACACAAAGTGGGAGTTGTCACAGTTGCTCTTTGCTGATGACACTGTGCTTTTGGGAGATTCTGAAGAGAAGTTGTAGAGGTTGGTGAACGAGTTTGGTAGGGTGTGTAAAAGAAGGAATTTAAAAGTGAATATAGGAAAGAGTAAGGTGATGAAGATAAATTTAGGTAATGAAAGACTGGATATTATCCATGGAAGCAGAGAGGGGAATGTTTGAGAGTTTAGTTATACCAGTGCTCTTATATGGGTGTCAGGCTTGAGTGGTGAATGTTGCAACAAGAAGAAGGCTGGAGGCAGTGGGGATGTCATGTCTGAGGGCAATGTGTGGGGTGACTAGCAGAGAATTTGTAGTTTTGAAATTAGAAAGAGGTGTGGGGGTTACAAAAAGTATTATCCAGAGGGTTGAGGGGTTGAAGTGATTTAGACATTTAGAGAGAATGTAGGGAGTATAAATGTATAGTGGAGGGGGGGTAGGGGTCATCCAAGGAAAGGTTGGAGGAAGGGTAAAAGATGTTTTAAGTGTGAGGTGCTTAGACATCCAAAAAGTATGTGAGCTTGTTAGGGGTGGAGGCAAGTGGTTTTTCATTCCTTAATGTGCTGTTGGAGTGTGAGAAGGGTAATATTTATAAAGGGATTCTGGGACACTGGTTAACTGGACTTGAGTCCTGGAGGTGTAAAGTACAGTGCCTCTACACTGAAGGATGAGTGAAGATGTAACCATGCCTAATATAACCTAAATAACGTAAATATTAATAGTACTGATTGCGAAAAGAATTTAGGAGTTCTGGTTAGCAGTAATCTGAAACCAAGACAACAGTGCATAAGTGTTCGCAATAAAGCTAACAGAATTCTTGGCTTCATATCAAGAAGCATAAATAATAGGAGTCCTCAGGTTGTTCTTCAACTCTATACATCCTTGGTTAGGCCTCATTTAGACTATGCTGCTCAGTTCTGGTCACCGTATTACAGAATGGATATAAATGCTCTGGAAAATGTACAAAGGAGGATGACAGAGATGATCCCATGTATCAGAAACCTTCCCTATGAGGATAGACTGAGGCCCTGAATCTGCACTCTCTAGAAAGACGTAGAATTAGGGGGGATATGATTGAGGTGTATAAATGGAAGACAGGAATAAATAAAGGGGATGTAAATAACGTGCTGAAAATATCTAGCCTAGACAGGACTCGCAGCAATGGTTTTAAGTTGGAAAAATTCAGATTCAGGAAGGATATAGGAAAGTACTGGTTTGGTAATAGAGTTGTGGATGAGTGGAACAAACTCCCGAGTACAGTTATTGAGGCTAAAACGTTGTGTAGTTTTAAAAATAGGTTAGATAATAGGTCTAATGTTATACTTCCTTAAGTGGATGTGACCTGGCTTGACTAGGTTGGGTCATGGCCTTAAGCTTGTGGGATACTTGGACCTGCCTCGCATATATATATTATATATATATATATATAATATATATATATATATATATATATATATATATATATATATATATATATATATATATATATATATACAGTGGACCCCCCTTAACGATGACCTCCAAATGCGACCAATTATGTAAGTGTATTTATGTAAGTGCGTTTGTACGTGTATGTTTGGGGGTCTGAAATGGACTAATCTACTTCACAATATTCCTTATGGGAAACAAATTCGGTCAGTACTGGCACCTGAACATACTACTGGAATAAAAAAAGTTCGTTAACCGGGGGCCCACTTTTTAAATTAATATTTTTGGGAAAAAACTTATCTATGCTTATCATTTTTAAAGTCAGTACTCACCATCTAGGAGTGTTCAGAGACAAACTAGTGAACGAATTAAAGGGAAAGACGTCAAAACACAAACAACCCTTTGAAAAAATACAAAGAACATAGCATGTCTTCAGAGGAAATATTTTAGTTTGTCCTCAATTCAGTCAGTATGTCCTCAGAGAAAAACATTATTTCCCTTTTTAGTGTTAAAAAATACATTTAAAAACTGGGAGTCAATGTTTGTAATCGGTTGGGTTTTGTATAATCCTGGGGTGTAACAGCGATATACCCTTATGATATAAATAAACACATTTTAACAATTTTTTTAAGTGTAGATATTTTTGTATTTCATATATACATGAGGAATGGGAATTAAAGTGAACCGTTAAAATAAAACAGATAAAACTCTTACAAATACCCTGTCTCGTGTATAAAATGTATACATTGAGGTAAATCCCTTTGTATATACACGAAAAAATTCAGCAGTTTTAAATTTGGGGGGAATTTGGCCAGTTTGACGTTTCCACAGATATTTCCAACCCCTCCACGAATTCGCACATCCTCCACAGATCTTGCACACATCTGAAAAAATGTTCCACACAGTTTTCACAGAGTGAATAAAAAAAAAAAGACACAATACCGTGACGGGAACGATACACAAAGACCCCACATAAAAGAGGAAGCTTACGACGACTCTGGGTCCGACTTGGACCATTTACAAATACACTAAGAGGAGGAACGGGATGGGTTTATGGGCGGGAGGTGATAGTAGCAGTATATGGAGGAAAAAGGTATAGTGGGGGAATGGAATCGTAGGGGTGGACCCCAGTAAAATACTAAAAGGGGGAGCAAGTAAGGATGGTGCCCACAGAGGGTAGGCAAGAACACAAGAGGGGGAAATAATAAGGGAAAAAGTCCCGAGGCAGAAAAAGAAAAACCCAAAAAAGGGAAGAACAGGAAAGAGAAAAGGGAAGAGGGAGAAAAAAAAAGAATCAGGTTTTTAAGTCACAGGGTTTAATTTTTGGAGCATTTTACAAGTGGGGGAAGGAAGGCATCTACAGAGACAAAACCCAGGGCTAAGTTTCAAAAAGGGAAATTGGTTTAGGGGGAAATTCAGCAGACGGCGACTGTAAAAATTAGATGTAGGGAAGAACAGTTTTGCGAAAAACCAGCAATGGGATGGTGTAAACCTGAGTGACAGAAAAAAGCTTGTTAGTTTGGCAAGCCTAACATATTTTTGGCTCCAAATCGTCCAAAAAGATCGACTTTCCCCCCAAAAAGTATTGAAGGGGACAGGAGGAGCAAAAATAAAGTAGACACCGGGAAACTCTGTAGAGGGGAAGGTATGAACGAGATTAGTGCGAAAGTGTTAGTCTGGGGGAAAGTAAGTTTGACTCTAAGGAAGGGAGAAAGTTGAGATTAGAAACAGGGAAAAATGTAGGAAGGCAAGGACAGAAGAGTTCCCAGGAGTAGAGGTTTGGAGGAAGAAACTACGTTAGAGGGAGAAGGCAAGCTATGAAGGGGGGAAGGTAGCCAAACGGGAAAATAAAATTATAGAGTGAAATTTCTGCGGGAAGGAACTGAGGATCACACCGAAGGTGTGAATAAATTTCTTTGGAAGGAAAAGGAATTGAGTCCACACAGAGGCGGATAAGATCAGAAAGACGTCAGTAGGTATGGGGAGATAAAAACCCTTCAGGGGCCTTCTCTCTAAGGAAACAAGGACATCAAAGAGGAATTTGGGTGAAGGGGGACTCAACTCAAACTAACCCTTTTTACAGTTGGGAGAGCAAACCCCTTTTAAATGAAGTCTTGAGAGTGACGGGTGGGCGGGAGAAAAAGACCAAAAAGGAGGGTTTTGGCCAACCAAGAAGAGAATAAGAGACGACCTCTAGAGATATAATAACGAAGGGGAAATTCAGGTTTATGATTTTGGGGAAGGCCATAGAAATAGGGCAGAGAGGGACGTGACACGAAACCGTTAAAAAAGGGTCAAAGTCAGGAGACAGAGGTCGAGAAAGTCCCTGTTTCTTGTTGAAATTCTCTTGATGCAATCAAGAGGGTTGGAAACAAGAGGGTTTGGGGGGTTTGAGACAGAGCCCGGGTTTCGGGGTAATCCTCGCGATCAAGGTAACTACCGATTCCCTTTCGTAGAAGATGAATGACAATGTTATGTTGGATTTAAGGGGACAGAAAAAAATTTGGGTAACGGCGTGGAAATGCCGGCCTTAGAAAGCAGGGTTTCCAGAGCAGGAAGGAGGAGCCACGAAAAGTGGAGGAGTCAGGGATGGGAAAGGATCCCTTCCAACACTGA